CACAAGTAAAGAATTTGATGACTTTTGCAGGAAAGAAGACATCAAAAGACAGTTCACAGTGGCAAATACTCATCAACAAAATGGAGTGGCAGAGCGGATGAACAAAACCTTGTTAGAAAGAACAAGAGAAACGTTGAGGGCTGCAGGCCTAGAAAAATCATTTTGGGTAGAAGCAGTCAATACCGCCTGATATTTGGTGAATTGAGCTCCATAAACTGTAATAGAGCTGAAGACACCAATGGAGATGTGGACTGGTAAATCAACTGATTATTCAAACCTCCATGTATTTGGAAGTATTGTGTATGTGATGTACAACTCCCAATAAAATTCAAAGTTTGATCCAAAATCCAGGAAATGCAAATTCTTGGGGTATGCTGATGGTGTAAAGGGGTATCGCTTGTGGGATCCCAATACCCGTAAAGTGATCATAAGCAAGGATGCTATCTTTGTAGAAGATAAACTACAAAGAAAAGAAGATGATGATAGCGTTGAAAAGTTAGAGACTACACAGATACATGTGGAAAAAGAGTTTGAACAAGGAGATTCTTCTGAAGCAAAACCAACACATGATGAACAAGAAACAGAGAGTTCTGAAGCTCCAACAACTCGTCAATCAGATCGTGTGAGAAGATGCCCCAATTGGCACTTAGATTATGTTATAGAATGAAATATTGCATATTATCTTTTAACATAAGACGATGAGCCATCAACTTACCATGAGGCAATAAACAAATCAGATGCTTCACTATGGATGATGGCGATGTAAGAAGAAATTGAAGCCCTTCATAAAAATAATACATGGGACCTTGTGCTACTACCACAAGGAAGTAAGCCAATTGGTAAAAAATGGGTCTTCAAAATCAAGCGAAATGGTGATGATCAAGTGGAGAGGTACCGTGCAAGACTGGTGGTCAAAGGATATGCTCAAAAAGAATATATTGATTTCAATGAAATATTTTCTCCTGTGGTTGACTAACAATAGTTCGAGTAGTCTTGGCAATATGTGCTATATTGAACTTACATCTAGAGTAGCTAGATGTTAAAACAACTTTTCTTCATGGAAATCTTGAAGAAGAAATTTATATGCTCCAACCTGAAGGTTTTGAAGAAAAAGAAAACAAAACTTGGTTTACAAGTTGAACAAATCTTTGTACGGTCTAAAGCAGATGTCGAGGTGTTGGTATAAGAGATTTGATTCTTTCATTATGTGCCTTGGATACAACAGACTTAACGCAGACCCTTTTACTTATTTCAAGAGGTTTGATGATAACGATTTTTTTATATTGCTGTTGTATGTGGATGACATGTTGGTTGCAAGACCCAACAAAGATCATATTAAAGGATTGAAGGCACAACTGGCTAGGGAATTTGAAATGAAGGACTTGAGATCAGCAAACAAGATTCTAGGGATGCAAATTCACCGAGACAGAAGTAATAGGAATATTTGGCTTTCACAAAAGAATTACTTGAAAATGATCTTGTCACGATTCAACATGTAATATTGTAAGCCAATTTTTACCCCTCTTCCTATTAACTTCAAATTATCCTCTAGTATGAGTCCTAGCAGTGAAGAAGTAAGGATGAAGATTTCTCGAGTGTCGTATGCATCAACAGTGGGAAGTTTAATATTTCGCTATGATATGCACAAGACTAGACATTTCACAAGCAGTGGGAGTGGTTAGTCGGTACATGGCGAATCCAGGTAAAGAGCATTGGAATACATTAAAGAGGATCCTAAAATACATCAAAGGGACCTCAAATGTTGCATTATATTATGGAGGATCAAATTTACTTATCAATGGGTATGTTGATTCTGACTATGCAAGGGATTTGGATAAAAGTAAATCTACAACAGAATATGTGTTCAAAGTTGTTGGTGGAGCTACAAGCTAGGTTTCAAAATTGCAGTCAGTTGTGACTATATCCACAACAGAAGCAGAATATGTAGCAGTTACACAAGCCAGTAAAGAAGCAATTTGGTTGAAGATGCTATTGGAGGAGCTTGGACACAATCAAGAGTATGTCTCTATGTTTTATGACAGTCAAAGCGCCTCACATCTAGCAAGGAATCCAACATTTCATTCAAGGACAAAATACATACAAGTTCAGTACCATTTCATTCGTGAAAAGGTGGAAAAAGTGACGGTATATATGCAGAAGATCCATACCAAAGACAACATAGCAAATTTCATGACGAATGCTATCAATGTTGATAAATTTACTTGGTGTTGATCCTCTTGTGGCCTGTCAGAAACGTAAGCAACATGATGGTACAAGGTAGAAAGAATGGTGTGAAGATATGATTGTTCCAATCAAATCTTCAAGCGGGAGATTGTTGAAAATACAAGTTGCACCGAAAGTACAACTTTGAAAAACGTAATGGTATGCACCGAATTAGGTGCAGTTTTTGTTGAATATTTTACATGGAAAAATTGTTTTTAGTCCCTGAACTTTAGGGTATTTACAAGATTACTCCTTAAACTTCAACTATAAATACCCTAACCCATTTAGCTTCAAAATCATCCTAAATCATTCTAGCTTTCTTCCAATACTAGAGAATTTAGAGAGTTTCTTGAGAGTTGTTTTCTCCTTTTTATCAAGAAAGAATTATGATTATTTTCTCCTTGGTAGATCGAGAGCAGTTGTAATTTCTATTTTCTCATAGTGAAATTCTTCTACCGTTGCCCGTGGATTTTACCCTATATTATTTAGGGGTTTTCCACGTAAAATTTGTGTCTTATTTATCTTCATTTTTATTTTCTCAAATTATCAGTTGCGATTTTGCTCTATCCGATAGCCGTATTTCGCAACACCTAGTGCCAAGCTTTTAATCTGAGGCTAAACAAATAATGCAAGAGTGTGCAATCGAGTTCATAAGCTTCGTGACGAGCGAGGCATCCAACAAGTGTCGGAAGGAGAATCAGAAGACAATGAACAGAGACGATGTATGTTAGGCGTTGAGCGCTCTAAGGCTTGACAACTATGTCGAGGCCATCGTGAGGTACTTGTATAAGTATAGGGAAGCTGAGAGAGAGAGAGAGAGTAATAGCTAGCCAAAACAAAGAAACAAACAACTCTCGAGATGAAGATATTGAATAACTGGATCAAAGTGGTCAACCATCTCAACAGGCTAATGAAACTCAGACTCCATTGATGAACATATTTATATTGTATTGTACTGATATATATTGTAAACATGTTTTTTTTCTAGGTTTAAATAGGGGGCCTAGTGCTTGTGAAGACTTGATTAACACAAGTCATTTACTACTTCGCTTGTGACTAGTTGATCGATCTCTTTTAAGCTTTGATAGTTTGAACTAAGATAATTTTTTATCTCTTTATCTATCTGGATGTAATTAAAGTTGAAGTTAGGGGTCAATTAAAAAAAGTTAAAGTTAGGGGCGAGTAAAACTTGATTCAATTTGAAAATTTGATTTGAATCGACTTAAAAAGTTTCAAATAAAGTTTAGATGATGAAATATGACTTGTCAATTCGACTAACTCGAATCAACTTTAATTCCTCCATAATTCCTCTTGTCCCTAATTCTTTTGTTGTATTAAGTCTATTTTTGACCGAATTTGAATCACATGCTCCTATAACACTATAGAATATATGATAAACTACTCAAGTGTCCACTTAACTATGGAGTTGGTGTCGATATGATCATCATACTTTCAATTTTGGCAATATGACCACATAACTAGTATTGACGTGACAATTAACAAAATTAATATAATTATACATTTGATTCTCAAATCCTTCAATTAGGAGGAAACACATGTCAATATTTGCTTGTGTCCTATGTCATAATTGACATGTGTCAACACCAAATTGAAGGGTTTTTTAATAAACTAAATTAAAATTAAGATCAAATTGATTGAATGTATAAGTATTAAGGACCAAATGTGTAATTATACCAATTTTGTTAACTACCGCGTCAATACTTCCGTTAAATGCTAATGACAAGTGGCTTGATTGAAACCACTTAAATAGTTATGTGGTCATATTGCCAAAATTGAAAGTATGATGGTCATATCGACACCAACTCTATAGTTAAGTGATCACTTAAATAGAAACGCGGATGGTTCTAACTATTGTTTCACAATTCATGAGTAGGCCTGTAAACGAACCAAACGTTAAGTGAACAGTTCGACGGTAAGTTCGTTTATGTCCGTTTATTTATTAAACGAACAAACATAAACAAAATTTTATGTTCATTTACTTTCGTGAACATTCAATAATATGTTTGTTTATATTTGTTTGTTTATATTTGTTTGTTTATGTTCAACTCAATCTCCAAACTCATTTAAAATATTAAGATGTAATAAATTTTAACCTTGAACCCATTAATATTTTAAAATTCAATTAATTTTAAACCAGATAAAAATACCCAAATAAGTTAAAGAAAATATAAATCCTAAAATTATTTGAAAAGAAAAATCATATTCTCAAATACAAACCCAATTAATTTTACGTTCGTTCGTTTATGCTCATTCGATTGTGTTTATTTACGCTCGTTCGTTTGTGTTTGTTTACGCTCGTTCGTTTGTGTTTGTTTATCATTTTAACAAAAAATGAACGAACACGAACAACCTACATTCCTTAGCGAACGAACACAAACGATAAATTTTGTTCGTTAAGTTCATGTTCGTTCGTTTGTTCGGCTAAACACAAATGAACGAACATAAAAATACCTTCGTTTGAATTCGTTCGATTCATTTACATGCCTATTCACGAGTAAAGTGAAAATGCAATTCAAATCTTCACGTAAATGCACCAAATATTCCAAAATTTTGTGTCATGAAGTATTACTCCGCAGAGGCATTCATCAATGGTCTCGAAAACTTCTATTTCTCTGGACCAAGTAAATCAAAGTTGTATTATGTGAAAGATTTTGTGGTAAATATGATTGCTAGGTTAAATTTTACTGCGGATGCCATTGGCAACTCCAACCATGACATTCCTGGAAAGGATGAACAACTTTGAAAAAATCACCATATTCATCAACTAATCATGGAGAACTTGTATCGTTTTACCGTTGCATACAAAAACCATTCATGCAAAGTTTGGAACGAATCGACTATTCCGGTCGACATATAGAAGCTTCTACAAATCCCCAACCATCATCAATATCAGGCCCTACCCAATAACCGATTACATCAATACGAGTACAAGAACTTGCATTCGAGCTAATCGAAACATTTTCATCGAAACGCTTTGACATGGCAGTCAGATAATGCTCACCATTGGCAGAAGACATGCTTTTGTTTGAGCTGCAGAGGGTCAGAAAATATGATGCTGCAAAATAGAAATCCATAATATCAGGTGCATTATAAGCACACAATCATAAACATAAGGCCAAATGTACTGTTCTCAACATAGCAACAATCATAAACACAGTCCCAATAACTGTTCTTGCAAATCAAATTGGTAATTCAAGTGACACATTTGCTGCTTTTTACTCTTTTTTCGGTGTAGATAGCCGCGTGGAACTTCACTATATCAAGAGTTAAGCCAGGCCAGACCCCTAAATAGAGGAGCAAAGCTCTCCCAATACTATTTCTTCATCCATAAGACTCGAAACCAAGACAGAGCATCGAGCTCCATTCCACTCGAAACCAAGGGAAGCTTGTAAAAAAATGTAGTATGCATTTTGGAGTGGGCTAATGATGTTGAGATATGATGAGTACATTAATGATTGCAGAGAACTTGAACTTTCGATCACATTAAAACTTAATTTTTTAAGGAATCTATCCCCAATCCACATGAAAACCCTGGAACAATAAAAAAAATGCCAAATCTATTGAACTCAACAAGGGCTCAAGCAAGCTAGACACAAATTTAGGTTTCAACAAATAAACATTTCCATGGAAGAAGTTCATCACTAGTTCAGCTGTGAAAACCCAGTATCTGAATTCACTTAATTTTAAATACCATGTTCACTGCTAGTTTAATATTATGGAAAAAACAACATAGAATCATATAAAAGAACCATGTTTTCAAGTTCCTGAAAAATGAGATACCCTGCAAGCTAAAAAGGAAAATAAAAAACTATAAAATGACCTTTATTGGTAGTTGCCAAGCCTGGAAATCTGCAGAAAGCTGATTCCTTTATATATCTACCCTGAATAAAAACAATTAAACAACAAAGAGAGATATTGAGAGGAAACAAAGGGGTGTGGCATTCGAAAGAGGGAGTACCTTAAGTGGGTTTTGAAGGGAACAAAGAGGAACCGAGAGGCTTAACGAAACGAAGCACGCCATTCAAAAGCTTCTGTTTGAAGAATTAGTTAAGAGAGATTTCTGGGTTTAAGGTTGAAGAAATATGATATTTCCATAAAACAAAGAAGCTCCCGAAACGACAACGTTTAGCAGATTTGTGAACTGAGATAAGTGTCTCCAATATTTTTTTTTTGGTCTGGGACCTCTTCTTAGAGATGACAATTCGATTCGAATTTGATAGGTTTTAATCTGATATTATAAGGTCGAATTTTTATTATTAAAATATCATTTTCGGGTCGGGTGGGTTATAAAGGGTGAGGTCGGGTCGGATTCAAAATCATGGTGAAAAAAATTTGATCCGGCCCAACTGGAGATAATAATATCATTTTCTTTTATATATTTACAGATAATTAGGTATCTATTTGATCGAGTAAAAATAAAATTATATATATATATATATATATATATATATATATATATTTGTGTAAGATGAAATATATTTGTACTCCCAAAATTCAATTCAGATGTTAAATCAAATGAGACATCCATAAACTCGGATTAGGTCAGATGGTTGAGGTATATCATATTGTTTTTTTTATCAAATTATTCTATCAGTTCATTTACTACGTTAAAGTTGTGAATTTAATTTCTTTATTTTAATGTAGTAATTTTTAATCTGAATGATAAGTTTTTGTACTATATGTAAGTTGTATATTTAGTTCATATTCTCTAATTTAATTATTTTAAGTTCTTATATTTTAGTCATGTTATTCATTAGGTTCCTAATCAAAATTTCAAATTTCTAAAAATAGAGGGACTAAATCATAAAAAAATCAGAAATTGGCAATTAAAAAGTAATCATTTCTTCAATGTAATAGAAATGAACAAAGCATCTTTGATGTTGTGTGATGGATTTGAGAGAGAAATTACAGACAAACAAGTCCCATGTTGCCAAAAGTTTTAATTCAAGCCAGAATTCACTTTCAAGTAACAAAAACCTATGTTCCATCATATGAAACCAGAGCCCAATGGTCAGCAACCTCATATCAAACAGGGTTTAGCTATTTCCCCAAAGGGTCTGATCACCATACAGAATGTACTGATGTCTGCAACACGAACTGACTCTGCCGTAAACATCTTGTTTCGATAGCCCTTGTTAACGGTTTGACCTTGCTATTCCCGGCCTCCTACCAGACTGCTGCTATCACGATAATCTGGGCTATAAACAAATCTTGAGAGGAGTTAAACCAAACCACTGACTTGATCAAACAAGGTCAACTCCAATGTGCATGCGAAAATATACGGTTAAGCAAGGGATGGTCCATTCTGAGCTTCATTTGAACTCCTATGGGATTTGTGCCTTTTCTTCTCCCGCTTCTTACTGTCGTTACAAACTGATTATCAGCATGAATCCACATAGAAAGTAGGTATAAAACCAGATAATCTTGTATCTAAATAGAACGAATTGTATGGAACATACTCGTCGTGCGAGCTATGCCCCCAACAAGATTTCAGTTTCCGGTTTATGTGCTTCATATCCTTTTCTGTGGGGAACTTGTATTTCGTAACCTATATATATGTTGCCAGCAAAAGTATATAAATAAATCAGTGAAACGTAGCATGTATATATTGCTGAACTGGATTTATGTCAAAAATCAGATCACAATGAAACTATACCCAAACATCTATAGCATTTAGTGATTCTATAAACTGCAAAATGCTGTGCTCGGAATTCTGGCGTGCGAGAAGACTTCTTAGGTATCTGCAAAGGACATGACACACAAGTTGGATGAATTGTAAAATATTATTTTATAATAATCCTATGAGAACTTCATGAATTAAGAATCAGGTAATACCCCTCAAAGTCGAGAACTCTATGCATCTCATTCGCGCTGCGTAAGGCAGCCAGTGCCAACTGTAACATAGCAACATACAAAGCAAAGCCATGAGAATCATATTATAGGAAGTTTAATCGATCCATGATACAGATTTGACCATTGCAAATATGAAGATGCATAACAGTTGGCGCATTACAATAAGGCCATTCCCAAAGATATTCTCCTAGACTATCAATCGAATAAAAATATCGCAAAAAGATACACTCAGAACGGAGCCTGAATCAGAAAGAGCACCTGGCCGGGAGGAAACAGATGTAGAGCATCAGTAAGCATAATTTTGTCAACTTCCATCCTAGCAGTTTCTTGCAAATCCTATGCAATATTAACAAAACATATATTACTTGGAATACATTTAAGAAGATAAAGTCATGCATTTACTATTTTGGAGGCTAGATATCGCCGACATTAGGTTATTTTCCTAGCCATACTAGTAGTAAAGGTATGAGCTTGGCAACAGTATAGGGATCATGATTATATTGACCACATACTAAGAGTTTCAAATTTTTTTTAAAAAACTGCTGAAATAAAGATGGAATTGCATAAACAAATAAGCGGCAAAGCAAATGATTTCCCAAATAACAACTTAAAGTTTACTTGTAAAAGTATTTTACAACAATAGAAGGAAAAACAAAACAATAATTGCAAACTGAACCCACCTCCATGTCATTGACAAAACCTTCAACTGAACGATAGGGTGCAAAAACAATGAGATCAAATTCCAGACTCTGCAAGTCAATATATGTACTTTTTACAAACACAAGCCACAACAAAAAGACTAAACGAAAAAGGAAGAAGAATGGTAGCCATGCCTGATACACAACCATCTCGTAATTGAGAATCATCTGATGATCTTGAGAAATCCCCTTACCAAGCTCCTCTGCCGATACATGATTTTCTTCTATCTTACAGGCTGCATACACACAGGTTAACCTACAGATCAAAAGAACAATTGTATTATTTTCAAAATAAACTTTCTAATCAATTGTGATTATCAGTCAAAAGAACGTATCATCTAGCACCACATATCAAAAGGCAAAATCAGTGACAAGAAAAAGATCCAAAAGACACTTTCACTTGACCCAAATTAAGGAAGGTAGGTGAGGATGGATATATCAACATAGTTCATGATGCATATTTCTAACAATAGTCTAAAGCACATATCAGAATGGTGCATACAGCATATCACATGCAGAGATAACAAGCATTAGAACATATATATATATATATATATATATATATATATCTGAAAGAGTATAAGAATCATACATTATATGTTTTGGATGATGTTCCATGACCGACCACTGCAGATAAAACCTTTTGAAGTAAATTAGTGCTGTCGCCTGCAAAACGTTAACCAGAAATAGAAGCACATCAATCATGACCTTGTCCTTATTCATGAGTATGTTATCTTAAAAAAAATGGAATAAGTACCTGAATTTTATTGGGAAAGTAGAATGCACTACAAACTTCTCGAAGTTTGTTCTCATAAAACACCCGCATGAATTGTTCTTCTTCAATGTTAAGAGGTTTTGGACGAGAATGCTTGTCGGCTAACACGAAAAATCAAAATACCATACCGTAAGCTCCATGACCAAGCACCTCACTATGGAGCTAAAATGAAATAAGAAAATAAGTTTACCATTATCCCTCGCAATTGGTTCAGGGTACGACATCGAACCTTCTGCGTCTACTTCCATTTGTGTTGTTCCATACTTCAGAACAAACAAGCAAATCAGCTTCAATAAGATGAGCAATGAGAGAAAAAATCCACAAGGAATGCATTCAATGGCAGGTATTTGTAACTGATAACATTAAACAATGCTTCTAATGGAAAGTAATGAATGGAATTCAACACCAACTTTAACTAATTTACTATACAAACACGCTCTCGAGCTCGTGCATACACAAACACGCATACAAGTGAAAACCAAAGGCTCTGCCATACCTTCTCCAGTGTTTGTATTGCTCTTTGATTAGCAGCCTTGTATTTCTCAACCTATAAACAGTGAAAAGAAGAAGAGAAAAAGGCATTGATATGAAAGGTAATTGGTTTTTCCTTACATTTACGAGACAACGAAAAAAAATTCTTTTCTTTTTCATAGTATTTACCAGTTCTTGAGGAGAGAAGATCCACTTAACTCTGTGAGTCGATGTATGAAAATCAGCCATGGTTAGACTCAGCAACTCGGTAGCCCTGACTCAGCAATTCGATCGCAGCTAGGCAAACAATTCCTCCAGTCACTCTGAAATCTCCCAAATTTAATTAGTCTTTCCAAATTCAGATTCGGGTTCTAACCCCGACCCGGAACCCGACAACTTCAATCCGCATCTAAGCAGCCCATAAACAATTCTTGAAATTAATTTGGGTTAAACTCATGAGACAACCTCAAACTATGGCTTATATTCTAAATTGATCGCTTAATTCCAAACAGTCTGATTGAGTCATCAAAGTGTTAGTTATGCATCAATCAGGTCATTTTGTCAACTTCATTGTTAGCTTGGACGTTAAATGTCAACTCAAATCTAACGTAGAACATATTTAACAAACGTAAATTAAATGACAAATATGTGTATTTAAGATATAAACATTTTAGATTTAACGTAAATTGTAATGACATTATCTATACTTAATCTACATGTTTTAAAATGCTACATATTCAAGGGAAAAATTAAGATTGAACTTTGGAAGGGATCAAATTGTTAGATTTAACGTAAATTGTAATGACATTATCTATACTTAATCTACATGTTTTAAAATGCTACATATTCAAGGGCAAAATTAAGATTGAACTTTGGAAGGGATCAAATTGTTTAACTTGAAAAATTAATATCTATTAGGTATATAAACTCAAAAATTAAGATATTAAGATCTAATTTGAATATTACTTAAACTTATAAAGGCTTAAATTATCATTTGACAACACTCAATATATATTTAGATTCAGATACGATATATATATACATATATATAATAAGAGGAGAAGAAAGGAGTGCTCAAAATCTAATTCAAAATCTAATATGAAACAAGATTCAAACGATGCTTTTATCAGTACATCACATATTTTAATCCGATGGCATGACATATTTTGATGCAAATAGAAATCCACTAATTTTATTAAAAAAAAAAGTAAAATTTTCAATAAAGATTTACTAAACACATAGTTAGGACATTTCCTATAATCATAAATACAAGAAATTAGCCACTTGAGATCATTTAAGAATTATATAAGGAAAAGATTAAAAATTCATCTAAAAAGCTCAAACAAAATATATACAAATAGATTTGACTGAATCGACAAACAAACCACAACATGAGATCAAACTATTGAAAGATCACTAACAATCATAAATCAGAGTCGAGCATCATGAGAAAACTATCTCCGAACGCAAATCGTATATCCAAATGTAACCCGATGGTCCAACGTAGAAAAAAAATCAACATAATAACAAATTGTTAGTGTGAAATGACTCGGTCTCGTGGAGTCGGTCTCTTAAACAAGGAGGTGTTTGCAGTAGGGGGAATGTTAGTGTGCAATGATCTGAAATGAGCTGGTTGCTTAGCTGGCTTCTCATAGTTAGTTTGTTAGAGTTAGTTAAGGTTGTTGTTAATAGTTGAAACTACTAGAGCTTCTACTAGAGTTTATAGAATTGCTTCTATCAATTGTATAAATATAGCTCTTTGTGATTGAGAGGATAACATGTATCATTCGCCAAGATCTGGAGTATCTTGCTATCCGTTGCTCGATATTTCTCTCGTTTTACCTTACGTGATGCATGGAAGCTTGGTTCTTCTTGATAACTGATTTTGCTGGTTGCAAGGTAGTTGCAACTCTTGGAGCGTTGTAAGTAGGTGGTAAGGTGTTTTTTACTCAGCTTCTTGTTGATTTCTTGCTCGTTACCTCCCTATGGCCTCCTCTTCGGCTAGTTTAACAGTTCAGCATATTTCTAAGCATGGTATTGTGAAGTTGTCTGAGAGCACTTATCTCTTGTGGAAACATCAAGTAATGTTGATTATTGATGGATATGGATTGTTGAAATATGTGTCTAATGATGCTTCTGCTCCTAGTGAATCTATTATGAACGAGTCAGGACAGGAAGAAGAAAATCCCGCCTCTGTGGTTTATAGGCAGCAAGATAAGCCGTTAGCGTCTTGGATCCTAACCACAGTAAGTACGGAAGTCCTTCCTCACCTCACTGGTCTGACATCCACACTCACCATTTGGAGTGCCATCACAAGACTTTTTGGTGCAAGGTCTAGTGCGAAGGTGACTACTCTTAGACATAGTCTTCATTCGCAAAGGAAGGCTGGTTCGACCGTAAGCGAATATCTAGCCAAGGTAAAATCCATTTGTGACATGCTGAATGCTGCAGGAAGTTTAGTAACTGAACAAGAATACGTCAGTATTCTCTTAATAGGATTATCCATGGAATTTGAGTCTATCATTGCTATAGCCTCGTGTGATTCTTTATCGTTAGACGTTTTAACCGAAATTCTTCTTGACTGTGAAGCTCGACATAAACTTTTTCTGTGTGAGAGTGCATCTGTTAATATGGCAAATCGTTCTGGTGATAAGGATTCTCAAGAATCGAGTTCCATGGCTGGCAATACTCAATCTCAATCGTATTCTAATCCAGTAAGGAGTCAACAAAGTGACAGCTTCTGTGATAGAGGTCGTGGTCACTTCAATAACTCTAATCGACCTCGGTGTCAACTATGTGGAAATTTTGGCCATGTAGTTCATAAGTGCTATCAAAGTTTGATCACGAGTACTCTGGGGTGGCTGACTCCTCTGTGTCAGTTAATGATGGGTTGAAACAGTCTCGCAGTGTCTTAGGTGACAAGTAGCAGACTACTGCTAGCGTTCACGCATATGTTCACTCGATGAGTCCTGGGTTTCCTCAATCTCCTATGTTTTTTACCATCCTGTTACTAACTCAGTTTTTTCCCGGTTTGTAGTCGTTTGGATCAGTGCCCTATTATCAGGGTAGTCACGTGTTCCCTCCTCAGGTCACGTATCCGGTGTCAATGGTTCCTATGAATGCAGTTTCTGGTGATCCTTCATTTGGCCCCAGTGCTGGGAAGAACCCTTTTAGTTCTTCAATGTCCTCCTCACCAACAGCTTTTGTCTCCACAGTACCTTCTGGTAATGTTTCAATCAACACTGCTGACACAATCTGGTATCCGGATATAGGAGCAACACATCATGTCACCAATGATCTATCTGTGTTTAACTCTGGTACTACTTACACAGGTAAAGATACACTGCTTATGGGAAATAGAGAGGGTGTTAAGATCTCTCATATAGGACAATCATGTTACTAAGCAACTCGGAGCCCTTGTTATTACAAAATATGTTGCATGTGCCGAGTATAAAGAATAATTTGTTGTTCGTGTCACAGTTCACTTGTGACAATAAGGTTTTTATCGAGTTTCACCCGTTTGAATGCTTTGTGAATGACATACAGACTCAGGAGGTTCTGTTGAAAGAGAGGCTCACGCGTGATGGACTATATCAACTGCTGCCACACACTACAAGGGACTCCAGCTGGCAGTTGAACCATATCTCGAAAGCATCCAACTCACTAGATTTGTGGCATAAACGTCTTGGTCACTCCTCGATAGCTGCTGTTCGAGCTGTAATGAAGGCGTGTAAAATTGTCCCTAGTGAAAATAAATTGTATCGTGTTTGTACAACTTGCTTACAAAGTGTTGAATTATGTTTCGATATAACAAATTTAAAGGCAAAATGTTTTTGGACTTGAATTGAATTTATTCAAAGTTTAAAAAAGGTTTCAAAAATAATTCAAAGTCCATTAAATTTGGATTTGAGAAAAAATGCTAAAGGGTGTCAAAGTGCATCCATGCACCCCTGCAGTGCATCCATGCACCCCCTGCAGTGCATCCATGCACTCCTGCAGTGCATCCATGCACTCCATTTCGAATGCACTTAATGCATCGATGCACCTTGTTGTGCATCCATGCACGAAGGCTCCAACAGCTAGTAACAACTAGTTTATTTAAATTTAATGAATAGGTATCGATGCACCATGATAGTGCACCGATGCACCATGTTATGGGCAGCCTTTTTGAGTAGAAAAATCATCCCCAAATGGCTCCAAAACATCCCCAAATGGCTCCAAAACATCCCAACGACTATATACAACATCAAACACATTCCAAGCTATAAATACAAGCTAAGGACACTTGAAGAAAAAATAGAACAACTATCCAAGCAATCAAACACAAGAGAAGAGTTTTTCATTATTATTTCATCTTTCTCTTGTAAAACTTTTGTTCTTGTGAGCTTAATTCTTGTAAACACCTACCTTAGAGAGGTTTTCTTGTTTACATTTGTTATCCTTTTATAAAGGGGAAAGGTTCTATTTTAGCCCCAAAAAACTAGGGAGTTGTAAGGTTATCTCTTTGTCCTCAAAAGAAAGAACAAATTAGTGAATTTGTTAGAAAATCCTTGGTGAGGAGCTAAGGTAGTGGACGTAGACTTTGGTTGAGAAAGTCGAACCACTATAAATCATTGTGCAATTCTCTATCTTTCAATCTCCTTACTCCCTAAACACAAAACCATTCCGACCCCTCTTTGCAAACCGTTCCGGTTGTCGATTCGAGCTTCCAAAAATCCCAACACAAAGCAAAGCTCATAAACTTCCATTTTGTACATCTTTAACTGAATATAATAAACTGTTTTAGTTGGTTGTCTAAGATGTATAGGGTCCAGCGCCAATTGTTTCTGCTGATAGGTTTGCTTACTATGTCTCTTTCATAGATGTTTATCTGCTTAAAAGAAAATCTAAAGTTATGCAATGCTTCCTTAATTTTTTCAAGATGATTGAAGTTCAGTTTGACTCTAAAATTAAAGTCTTACAGACCGATGAAGGTAGAGAATATCAAGCCCTTAAAGGCTGGTTTCTAGCAAATGGTGTTCAACAGAGGGTCTCGTGTCCAAGTACCTCTGAACAGAATGGGAAAGCAGAAAGGAAGCATAGACACGTTGTTGAAAAGGGTTTAGCTTTGCTAGCTGGGGTTATACTACCTTTGAAGTTCTGGAGTTATGCCTTTGTCTCAGTAGTACACTTGATAAATCGACTGCCAACTGAAGTGTTGAATGGAAAATCACCCTTTGAGGTTCTTTACCAGCAAGTTCCAAATTATTCCATGCTTAAAGTCTTTGGGTGTGCTTGTTTCCCTTTTTTGAGACCGTTTAATCAACACAAGCTGGATTTCAGGTCGAAACAATGTGTATTTCTTGGTTATAGCTCTTCTTACAAAGGGTACAAGTGTTTAGATGAGAATGGGATGATTTTAATCTCACACCATGTTGTGTTCGATGAAGAAGTGTTCCCTTATTCTGAGGGAAAGTCAGTTGTTCAAAGCCATGGTAACACGAGTCCCTAGGTCAGCGTTTTACCTATAATACAGTCAATTAAAGGTTCAGATCAGACTGTCAACGTAACACCAAATTCAGCCCGTGACTGTAGGTAGCATCCTGGCACGTGTCTGCCTGATCCGTCACCAGCAGTTGCTGCTGTAGAGGATAGTGTGTATGCTGATGATGGTTTAATAGCGTCTACTGAGGAAGTTGATCCAGGACAGCCTGAGTCTCATGCATCAAGTAATAATGTTGTTGAAAATAAGCTAGGATTCTGTGAAGGATCACAACCTGATGGAGAACAATGTGGTGTAGAGCAATGTAACGTTCATCCTATGGTAACCCGAAGTAAGAGTGGAATTTAAAAACCTAAAGTTTTTCAAGTGGCCTGCTTTGATAAAGATCCAAGGACGATTCGAGAAGCCATGAACAGTTTGGAATGGAGAGTTGCAGCTCAAGCCGAATATGATGCACTAGTAAAAATACACATTGACACTTGTTTCTCTCCCAAGTGGTACAAAACCAGTTAGTTGCAAGTGGATTTTTAAAATCAAAAGGAATGCTGACGGTTCCATAGCAAGGCACAAAGCTCGACTTGTGGCCAAGGGTTTTCTACAATAGCCATGAGTTGATTACCATGAAGTTTTCAGTCCTGTGGTCAAACCAGCGACTGTACGTGTTGTTCTGTCACTTGCATTATCGAAGGGGTGGTCGTTAAGGCAAGTTGATGTCAATAATACGTTTCTAAACGGAGTCTTAGCTGAGGAGGTATATATGATGCAACCCCCAGGGTATGAGCAAGGTGATGGTAACTTGGTCTGCAAACTCAACAAAGCCATCTACGGGTTGAAGCAGGCTCCTCGAGCGTGGTTCGATAAACTCAAGCCGTATTTGGAGGATCAAAAATTTGTCTTGTCAAGGTCGGATGACTCACTTTTTGTCAGGGAAACTGCTGGCAACATTATATATTTGCTCGTGTATGTAGATGATATCATTGTTACTAGAAGTTGTGAACAAGAAGTACATGGTGTGATTAATAAACTCAATGGTCAGTTTGCTTTAAAAGATCTGGGGGTTTGAATTTTTTTCTTGGAATAGAGGTATGTCGAACAGGTGGTGAAATCATTCTAAGCTAGCAGAAGTACATACGTGATCTCATGTGCAAGAGTGGCCTCGAAGATGCTAAAGTACTCCCCACGCCTATGGCTATGGGTTGCAAATTGACTATTGATACCGGGTCACTGGTTAAGGATGCTACACAGAATCGGAGTATAGTCGGTGAGTTACAGTATGTTGTTATCACTCGTCCCGATGTTGTCTTCGCAATGAATAGGGTATGCCAATTCATACAGTCTCCGTGTGATGTTCATCTTCAAGTGGTAAAGTGCATATTAAGATACTTACAGGCCGCTGTCGACTTTGGTCTTTGATTTTTAGCATCACCTCGCTTGTCCTTGACAGGGTTTGCTAATGCAAATTGGGGATCAGATGCAGATGACAGACGTTCGACCTCCGGTTACTGCATTTATTTTGCGGGGAATTTAGTTTCCTGGGACTCTCGTAAACAGCAGGTTGCAGAAGCTGAGTATCGCAGTGTGGCGTGTGCTGCTGCTGAGATGAAATGGCTTGAGTCCCTTCTAAGTGAACTACGTGTGACTGTTCATGGCAAATCTGTCTTGTGGTATGATAATTCTAGTGTTGTTGCAGTATGTGTGAATCCAATTCTTCATTCCAAATTTAAACATATTGAGCTTGATCTGTTTTTTGTTAGAGAGATGGTGGCTGCTGGAAAACTCTCTGTTCAGGAGGTTCCTGCTTTTGAACAAGTGGTTGATGTTCTAACTAAACCATTGTCTGCTCCTATGTTTCTTAAACATCGACAGAGGCTACTTGTGTCTCAAATTCCAGAAAAGTCTCAGATTTCAAGAGTTGAGGAGTAAACAAGTAGAATATGCAGTACGGGGAGTACTAATGCATGGTGTTGCGTATACCTCGGTCTCGTGTAAAGATGGTTTCTTAAATAAGGAAGTGTTTGCAGTAGGGGGAATGTTAGTGTGAAATGACTCGGTCTCGTGGAGTCGGTCTCTTAAACAATGAGGTGTTTGTAGTAGGGGGAATGTTAGTGTGCAATGATCTAAAATGAGTTGGTTGCTTAGCTGGCTTCTCATAGTTAATTTGTTAGAGTTAGTTAAGGTTGTTGTTAACAGTTGAAACTGCTAGAGCTTCTACTAGAGTTTCTAGAATTGCTTCTATCAATTGTATAAATATAGCTCTTTGTGATTGAGAGGATAACAATCATATAATAAAGTGAATTCAGTAGTCTTGCTTCTTGTTTCTGCCTTGTTTCCTTTATCTCTTCTTGTGTCTGTCGAGTATTATAGTCAAACTACATTCTATGAAAAATAAATAAAAAAGAACGACCAAACAACCGATAGAGAAAATTGAAAACGTGCCAAAAGGTAGAAAAAAATATGCTATAAAAATAGAGAAAAACTTGTTATGATGGCAAAGCTATTAGAAATTAAAAAACAATGAAAAATAAATATATGATATAAGAAAATAGATTAAAAATAAAGAATACCGATAATCGGACATCAATACCAAAGTTGGTTTCGCCGCCAACCAACAAAACTAAAAAATGGATCAAGCATCGTTCGATAAAGATGATATGAAATATTTTAAATTAAACTAAAAATCTAGGGCTTCAAATCACGGTTCGAAAATGTGATAGTGCCCGCGAAATAGCGGTTTCGCCGTCGTTCGAGTTACCTTCTACACCCGCAATAGTACCCGCGACGGCCACAATCACGGTAAATTCGAAATGACCGAAAACGCGACCGTGACCGCAATTTAAAACCCTCGTAGCCAGTGTTTTCTTTGTTAGTATTCGATTGTTTTAATATTCATCTGCAAATCCATCAGCTATGCATTCATCTGTTGGAAGTTTTAATTAGCACCGTCTAATGGTTCGATCAAGTTCACCTTCATCGAGCGATGTTCTTTCATTTCTAGACACGGGTTTCAATCTCTAAGTTACATTTTTTTTTTCTGCCTGATGGTTTAAAGTTCACTGGGGTTTTAATGAATCTGACATTTGGTGATTTGTTGTTGAGGACATAACAGATTCCTGGTTAATTTGTGCTTGTATGTCAGATCTTTATCTGTTAGCTATTTGCAGTTGAGTTTATCTCACTCTTATTTCCTACTTTTCACAGATGGAAACAGTTCGGCTGGATCCTAATTGCAACCTTGCTGAAGAAAGCATCTCCCGGGCTGTTTCTTCCCCCAGATTCTCCCGATATAACTGATATATTCGGCGATCCACGATTAAGTCCGAGAGTTGGCAATGAATACCAGGTGGAAATTCCTCCCATAATAACAGGATCTGATCATCTTCGGCTTTTGATGGACCCTCTTGACTCTGAAGGCATTCCTTATCTTGCCCATTCCTTTCTGTTAGGCTGACCTGTGCCTGTCACTTGGACCCATGAACAAGATACTGATTTCGAGGATGAAGGCAAGGGAGGTCTTAGTAAGCTCAATGATGGAAGTAAGTTGGACAAGTCTGACAAATCTAGAAAGAACAGAAAGGGCCAGATTTGTAAGAGGAAGAAAAGTTCTGAACTAAGTGCTGAACAGCCGGATGCTAGGTTGGTCGATGAAAAGAGTCGAATGCTGAGAACCTTGAATGTGGAATCGCAAGTAAAACTAACTTATTTCGACCATGTGAAGGTAAAAGGTCTCATCTAATTCCAGGTTCATCAGACCATTCCTGGAGTGATACAGAAGTGGACGGATTTCTTCTTTGTTTATATATATTTTGGAAAGGATTTCCAGCTGATAAAACGATTCATTGAAAGCAAGGAAATGGGGGATATATTGTCATTTTACTATGGTGCATTTTATAGGTCTGACAGATACTGCAGATGGTCAGATGGCCAGAAGAAACGAACTCGAAAAAATGTATATGGACGAAAAATCTTTACGGGATGGAGGCAGCAGGAACTGTTATCTCGGTTGCTCACCCATGTCCCTGAAGAAATACAAAATGATCTGCAGGAGGTAAACCTGATTTACTCAACATGTGCTTATTTACTAACCACACAGATTCAACTAAGTGTACGTTAACTGCATGTCGACGAATAAAGTACTAGTTTAATATATCGTACTTGATTCCGTATGCACTTTGCTGATTATTGTAGGACATCAATTTTTCTATGCTTAACTTTTCAATATGTCCTACTAGGCCATTCTTTAAGGACTAGCCCTCCACTGCTTAAGCAAATCCAAATTTGTTCCAATCTATTGTGGATTAGGAAACACTTTCGAACGTAATTTAACTCTTTCAGTCCTGTAATCTGAATTAGGAAGGTTCCATGGTTTCAATGCAAGATTCATGCCCGCTTTTCAAAATAATCAGTTATTGTTTCTCCTGTACTGGTGGCTGCAATTTATCAAAACAGATATGCTTATGAGTTTTCTTGAGAATCGTCTGACATGATCCTTTAGTCAGTTTTGATAAACAATCAGAAGACATTAGTATAGTCTTCTAGTTGGTTACCGAAAATTAATTGATTACATTTGTAAACTAAGGCTGTGCAATCATTACTCTTGTAGATGCCTTTATCCTGCTTGACCGAGTTTACATATCCGTCATTCCTATTTCATCATCTATTTGCAGGTCTCTAAATCATTTGTGGAAGGGAGAACTTCACTTGAAGATTATGTCTTTCATTTAAAGACTAGTGTCGGCATATGTGCTCTTGTAGAAGCTGTAGGTCTTAACAAGGGGAAGGAAGATCTTGCTGGCCTGGCCATGGAGCATCTGAGGACCACTCAAGTGTCCCCCGAAATACCATCTGGGAAGGCTTGTGCATTTCTTACATCTGGTGATGTTATCAGGTTCTTAACTGGAGGTTTTCGACTGAGCAAAGCTCAATGCGATGATATTTTCTGGGAAGCAGTTTGGCCACGCCTGCTTGCAAGAGGGTGGCACTCCGAGCAACCTAAGAATCAGTGCTCTGTCAGTTCCAACCATTTCCTAGTCTTTCTTATGCCCGTAGTGAAGAAGTTCTCAAGAAGAAAACTTGTTGAGGGAAATCACTACTTCGATTCTGTTAGAGTGATGTTTTGAGCAAAATTGCATCTGAGCCAACACTTATCGAGCTTGATGCTGAAGGAAACGGTATAGGGAGCTGCAATGAAGAAAATGGGTGCATTCCGGGAGAGTCATCGGATGAGGGCGATCCTCCTAATCATAAGCCTTGTTATCTCAAGCCCCGTGTCTCCATTTTTAGTTCAAATCACATGAAGTTCACAATTATTGATTCCAGTTTAATGCATGGAGGAAAAGCATCTAAGATGAGAGAACTGAGATATTCACCAGTTGATTTGATGTTTATATCAAAACCAATGCGGAAGAATGCTCAAGATTCACGGAAGGTAATGCTAATCGAATGCTGTCAAAAGGCGACAAGCACGTTACTAATGCTCACCATCGCGAGGGCAAAATAGCTAGCTCTACTGCAAGCGACAGTAAATTCTCCATTGTAGATAGCAGTTTGCTCCATGGAGGAAAATCATCCCGGGTGAGAGAACTCAGATGTTTACCAGTTGAGTTTGAAATTTCTTCCAAAGTTGGCAACTCTTCAGGAGGAGATGAAGACAATTCAAGTGGCAATTCTTCCGATGAGCAGGAGCAAAAGTTTACTGATATACTATCAAGTCATGGTTCAATTGCCACGTATATGAAGCCTAGTAGCAAGCTAGTTACTGCTATTAATCTGTTGAAATGCGATAAGAAAAACAGTGAGGGTAAATATGATAATGACAGTTCGAATAAAAAACTAAAGATCTCATGTATTGCAGACCATGATTTGTTGATTCACCAGGATGAGAAGACCAATAAATCGGACGATACCAGGTCAAAGCGGAAAATAAAGCACCAGTTCAGTAGAAGAGCTAAATCTAGTCATGCTGTTAGTTTAGTTCCCCCGGAAAAACGAAAGAAATTAGCTGTATTTTCTAATACAGAAGCTAATGAGAAATCTTCTGCTTTGTCAATTGGCTTAGCTTCTCGAGTGAAACAACAAAACTTAACCGCTTGTTCGAAGACAGATAGAAGTCACCTTACTTGGAATATCTCTGGTAATCCAATTCATTTAGTTTCTCCTGTAAAGAGACAGCGATTAAATGCTTGTGCTAAGACAGAGCAACGTTGCCTCACTGAAAAGTTTTCCTCCGCCACTAGTGAACAAATGGGGCTATGCAGCGATGGTGTTCTCGGTACGAGTCATTTCCATGACAAAGTATCATCTGTTAGTTCTTCCGCCGAAGGCAATCCAGAATCCATGGAGACTCCTCAAGGGAGTAATAAGAAGCTTCCACCCCCTTTTATCGATTAGTTCAAGCCCACCCTTGCTTCCTCTGGAAGCGCAGAATGGTGAACCAGGAACGATGGAAGCCAATGGCAGCCAGTTCAACATTGTCAATAATCATGCAGATTTGTCAATAACTGCTCCTAATGTTTGTGCCAAAGAACAACAACCTATCATGAACGGCCAGAAGCAAAGCAAAAGAAGCAGACCATCGACCACCAGAGCGTTGGAAGCTCTTGAGAGTGGCTTCTTCAACATGCGCAGGCAACAAAAAGTTAGAGCCGGGCTAGCACAAGCAACCCAATTTTCAATTCCTTCCTGAAAGGCATGCAGTAGAGTCAAAGCAACATCAAAGCACTAAAAACGAGTATACAGAGGAAGGAAAAGGCGCCGATGGTGTGTTTATTTGTTCCAAAGATGTTATGAACAATCCTCCTCAAGTGAATAGCTAGCTAATATCATCAAGTTCTTTCATCTGCCGACATGTCGCGTGGTCCATTGGCTGATGGATGCCTCAAACATCTCCTATGGAGAGGTATTAGCTTCCATTTTTTTTTCTTTGCACATAGTGAACCCTTTCCGAAAAAAAATGAAACATCAGCTTTTGGTTCGTTACGATCAGAAGCCATATCTGGATTAGCACAACAAACATCTTTACATGGTAATTTTGCCCTCCTTATTAAGAAATCTGTTTCAGATGTTAATGTTTAATCAATGTTTCTACTTCAGTTATATTTTGTTCCTATAACTAATATAGCATTGATCAATACAATCTCCTTCCATTAATGCTGAAGGTTTTACTTATTTGACCTAGACTGTAACCATCTATCCACCATTGTTTTCAATATCATTCTTAAATCGAACCGTAGTTTTACCGATATATGAGTCTAAGCATATTCAGATTTCACATCTGTTTTATGATCTATATTCGGTGTTTAATATAAATCGATGTACTTTAGGTCCAAAAAAAACAAGACCCCATTTCTACATGATGGTTTAGGGCTCTATCTATATCTTCATCCAACTAGGAAATCAAAGATTTACATCTAAGAGTTGCATTGATGAAGGTAACTTTGATATGAATAATCCAATGCCATCATACTTCAAATGATTGTTATTTTGAAAGAATTTGCATAGCAAATAATGTAAGGTGGGGCTACGCTACACCAACACACCCACCATGCAACTTCCCTTTTCTTTTTAATTTCTAAATTATGTCGGGCGGGCATATGATTTTTTTGATAAAGGGAGACGAACTTATAAAATGAAAGGGGAGCGAAAACATATTATCAATAAAAAAACGAAACTACTTAAATTATACGAGAATTTAAAATTTCAAGGACGATCGTCCCGTCAGTCCCTCTCGATTCATCTCCGATAGTGTTAATTATTTCTTGGGTTGGAGGGTAAAAGTTAAGTGAATTCAAGTAAGAGCCTATGGGTAGAATCATCCTTTCGAGAGACAAGAGAATCTTTGATTTCTGGTTGAAAGTAGCTTTTGCCTTAATTGCATTCTTTTTTCACAAAAAGGAAAACCAAAAAGCTCAAGTGAAAGCTCATTTCCAACTTAATAAGCTCATGGAGATCTATCTTTAGATTCCTTGCTCTCGAGACTCTCTTTTTGTCAATGGCTCAAAAGAGGAAACTCTTTATTTTGTTATTATGATTATATTACTAATAGGTTAAAATATGCTTTGAGTACATCTACTCTTTGTACATTTGAAATTCAGTCCCTCTACTTTTTGAATTTAAAAATTCAAAACCTACTATTTTGAATAGTATGAGACGATTACAAGATAATATATGTTCGAATATTTTCTTAGTAATTAACAACGTACACACACCATACAAGCGTAACACTGAGGGAGAACTAACACTCCTTTTTACTATTAAGGTCATTCAATGAATTAAAGAAAATCATATTTCTTATAAGTGATCTACCGATAGTTTTTAATGATTGTATGGCATCAAAAAAAATTTAAAAATAGATTCATCTAATTAAATTTTTAGTAATATCATTATTTTTTTATTGATAAGAGATAAAACTATATATTACCCATGCATTAAATATTAATCTGCATATTTATTGTCTTCAAACTTAAACTCGAAAGATCTACCTTCTAAAAAAACAATAACATGAACCAATTAAATTATACATATTATTAATAGTAGGACATCAATTATAATCTTATTGCCTCCATTTCTACAACTTAATTTTAATTATGATTGGATAATTTAAATTAAAAATTTCGTCGGTGTCAAAATAATATATGATATGATAATTAAAATTGAAAGATGAAGCGGTGGGCATGCAGTTGTTTTCATAGATGGGGACCATTTTGGTTGGTAAATGTATGTGGCATGTCAAAAGCTTTTCGGCCACGTCCATGTTTGATCCCAAGAGATTACATTTGATTTACAAGCTCATCGAGAATCTAATAATTGATGAGTCTCATCTAGGGATGGGCATGTAACTCGAATTCGACGGGTTCCGACTGATCAAGTCGAATTTTTTTTTAAATTAGGTTCAGTTTGGATTTTTAAAGGTTATGTTTGGACAAATTCGGTTTAGGATAAAAAATACCAGACCCAATCCGAAAAAATATAATTAAAAACACAAATAGAATTAAAAACAAACTTATAAATCCTTTGATTGGTGCATTAATATTTTATTACACATTGATAATTAAAAAGACGACATACAAAAAGAAGAAGAAAAACACATGATTGATGGATTTGTCAACACGTTAATCTTTATAGGTGTAGGGTACAGCACATATCCCTATCAGATTATTATAGTTAATGAAGTAATTAATGATATTTTAATGAAGGGAGATTAATTATTTTCCCATGCAGATTTAAAATTCATTCTTTGAATGTGGGTAGCTTTTGGATATGACTTCCAATGGATCAACATTATATATATTATTGGGAGGATTTTAGTGTGTATATGTATATATATAAAGTTTAGTTGTTGAAATATGATAAAACATGATGTGTTAATATTTAATTTATAAAAAATATATATTATTAGTTCATTAATTATTAAATTTATTTAATAAGACCACTATTTTCATGAGCTAATAATTTAACTCATTTGCTCTCTAAAGGAAGTTATGTTTATTCTCAGGAAGTTATGGATTTGTCATTGGATTTCAATACCAGACATGTTCTCCCTAAAGATAAAGTACGGATTCTAGTACAAAATATAATTAACAGTAAAAAATATAATAAACAAAATCAAAATAAATTAAAATTCTAAATTCTAAATATATATATATGGATAACTTTTCTTTAAAAGGTGATTGATTCTTCTACTTGGAGGACAAAAACCAGCATTGTAATAGTGAATATAAAGTAGACAAAATTAATTCGAGGCATAACAACAGATAATATGGCATTAATGTTGCGGAAGACGGCTATCGGATAGAGCAAAATCGTAATTGATAATTTGAGAAAATAAAAATGAAGATAAAGAAGACACAAAATTTACGTGAAAACCCCCTAAATAATATAGGGTAAAAAACCACGGGCAACGGTAGAAGAATTTCACTATGAAAAAATCGGAATTACAACCTCTCTCGATCTACCAAGGAGAAAACAATGATAATTCTCTCTTGATAAAAAAAACAACTCTCAAGAAACTCTCTAAATTCTCTCTAGTATTGGAAGAAAGCTAGAATGTTTTGGGATGATTTTGAAGCTAAATGAGCTAGGGTATTTATAGTTGAAGCTTAAGGACTAATCTTGTAAATACCCTAAAGTACAATGACTAAAATGTATAATTTTGCCATGTCACTTTTCAACCATTATTAGTGCCAACTATGAACCATTATTGTTGTCAACTTACAATGCATTATGAACCATTATTATGCATTATGCAACTATTATTAGTTGCATGACAACTAATAATCTCCCACTTGAAGATTTGATTGAAACAATCATATCTTCACACCATTCTTTCTACCTTGTACCATCATGTTGCTTACGTCTCTGACAGGCCACAAGAGGATCGACACCAAGTAAATTTATCAGCATTGATCGCTTTCGTCATGAAATCTGCTATGTTGTCTATGGTATGGATCTTCTGCATATATATCGTCATTTCTTCTACCTTTTCACAAATGAAATGGTACTGAACTCGTATGTGCTTTGTCCTTGAATGAATTGCTGGATTCCTTGCTAAATATAAGACGCTTTGACTGTCACAAAACAGAGAGACATACTCTTGATTGTGCCCAAGTTCCTCCAATAGCATCTTCAACCAAATTGCTTCTTTACTGGCTTGTGTAGCTACTACATATTCTGCCTCTATTGTGGATGTAACACAACTGACTGCAACTTAGAAACTCAGCTTACAAATCCATCAGCAACTTTGAACACATATCCTGTTGTAGATTTGCTTTTATACAAATCCCCTGCATAGTCAGTATCGACATACTCATTGATAAGTAAGTTTGATCCTCCATAACATAATGCAACATTTGAGGTCCCTTTGATGTATCTCATGTCCTCTTTACTGTATTCCAATATTCTTTGCCTGATTCGGCATGTACCGACTAACCACTCTCACTGCTTGTGCAATGTCTGGTATTGTGCATATCATAGCGAACATTAAACTTCTCACTGCTGATGCATACGGTACTCGAGACATCTCCATCCTCTTTCTTCACTGCTAGGACTCATATTGGAGGATAATTTGAAGTTAATAGGAAGAGGGGTAGAATTTGACTTACAATCTTGCATGTTGAATCGTGATAATATCTTCTTCAAGTAATTCTTTTGTGAAAGCCAAATCTTCCTATTACTTTTGTCTCAGTGAATTTGCATCCCCAAAATCTTGTTCGCTGATCCCAAGTCCTTCATTTCAAATTCCCTAGCCAGTTGTGCCTTCAATTCTTCAATATGATCTTTGTTGGGTCTGTAACCAACATGTCATCCACATACAACAACAATATAACAAAATCGTTATCACCAGACCTCTTGAAATAAGCGCAAGGGTCTGCATTAAGTCTGTTGTATCCAAGGCACATAATGAAGGAATCAAATCTCTTATACCAACACCTCGGCGCCTGCTTTAGATCGTACAGAGATTTGTTCAACCTACAAACCAAGTTCTTCTTTTCTTTTTCTTCAAAACATTCATGTTGGAGCATATAAATCTCTTCTTCAAGATTTTCATGAAGAAAAGTTGTTTTAACATCTAGCTGCTCTAGATGTAAGTTCAATATAGCATACATTGCCAAGACTACTCGAACTGTTGTTAGTCGAACCATAGGAGAAAATATTTCATTGAAATCAATACATTTTTTTAGAATATCCTTTGACCACCAGTCTTGTACGATACCTCTCCACTTGATCGTCATCATTTCGCTTGATTTTGAAGACCCATTTGTTACCAATTGGCTTCCTTCCTTGTGGTAGTGGCACAAGGTCTCATGTATTATTTTTATGAAGGGCTTCAATTTCTTTTTGCATCGCCATCATCCATAGTGAAGCATCTGAGCTGTTTATTGCCTCCTGGTATGTTGATGGCTCACCGTCCTCTGTTAAAAGGCAGTATGTAATATTTCCTTCTATAACATAATCTGAGTGCCAATTGGGACGTCTTCTCACACTATCTGATTGACGAGTTGTTGGAGCTTCAGAACTCTCTGGTTCTTGTTCATCATGTACTGATTCTGCTTCAGAAGAATCTCCTTGTTCAACATCTTTTTCCACATGTATCTGTGTAGTCTCTGACTTTTCAACGCTACCATCTTCTTCTTTTCTTTTTTAGTTTATCTTCTACAAAGATAACATCTCTGTTGATGATCACTTTGCGGGCAGTGAGATCCCACAAGCGATACCCGTTTACACCATCAGCATACCCCAAGAATTTGCATTTCCTGGATTTTAGATCCAGTTTTGAGATTTCTTGGGAGTTGTACATCACGTACACTATACTTCCAAAATATGGAGGTTTGAATAATCAGCTAGTTTACCAGTCCACGTCTCCATTGGTGTCTTCAACTCTATTGCAGTTGATGGAGCTCGATTCACCAAATAACATGCGGTATTGACTGCTTCTGCCCAGAATGATTTTTCTAGGTTTGCATCCCTCAACATTGCTCTTGTTCTTTCTAACAAGGTTCTGTTCATCCGTTCTGCCACTCCATTTTGTTAAGGAGTGTTCACCACTGTGAACTGTCTTTTGATGCCTTTTTTCCTGCAAAAGTCATCAAATTCTTCACTTGTGTATTCTCTTTCATTATCTGTTCTGAAACACTTGATCTTATTTCCAGAATCAAGTTCCACTAGCGCCTTGAAGTTTTTGAAAGTTAAAAACACGTCTGACTTCTTCTTAATAGGGTACACCCAACATCTCCTGGAGTAGTCATTAATAAATGAGACAAAGTATTTTGCTCCGCCTAGGGATGTAACTAGTGCTTGCCATACGTCAGAGTGAACCAATTCTAGAACACTTTTGCCTCTAGAATTTGATTTGTTGAATTTCAATCGGTGTTGCTTACTTGTTATGCAATGCTCACACAAAGGAAATGTTACCTTTGTTAAGCCTAGAAGTAGCTTTTGCTCCAGAAGGACTTTCATTCCTTGTTCTGACATGTGTCCAAGTTTCTGATGTCATAGCATTACAGAATATGAACTACATGAGGCAACAGAGACTTCTGCTTCTAGCAAAGCCTCTCCCTTCAGCATGTACAAGTTTGTTGTTATGTTTTCGTCTTTCATCACCACAAGCGCTCCACGGAACACCTTCATGATTCCTTTTTGTGTTTCAATCTTGCTTGCATTATTATCCAACAATCCGTAGGATAATAAATTTTTCTTCAGACCTTTCACGTGCCGCACATCTCGAACAACTTTAATTGTTCTATCATACATCTTCAATTTAATGGTTCTCACGCTAATGATCTCTAAGGCATGATCATTGCAACTATACACAGATCCTCCTGAGATAGGTTCATAATGATGGAACCATTCTCTTCTTGAGGTCATGTGATATTTTTCTCCCAAATCAATGAGCCATATATCTGCAAATATTTTTCTACCTTCCACGGTGGTTGACGCTTCACAACATAGAGCATCTCCATCATCTGAAATGTTTGCGGTATTGCCTTGTAAATTGGAGTTTTTATTTAGACTCCAACAATCCTTCTTCAAATGACCATTCTTTCCACAGTTGTAGCACTTTAAATTCTTCTTGCTTCTCGATTTTGATCTACCATGTTTGTGATTACTGCTTTGGTCACGTTCTGTTGATCTCTCTCTCATCGTTGTCAACGCTTCTGCTTGTTGCAGATTTACTTGTCTGTCTTCCTTATTCTTGCTCCGATTTTCTTCTTGTAGAACAGCATCTGCAACGTCATCGAAGACTAGACTGGTGATATTACTGTTTGTCAAGTTGATAATGAGTTGATCATACGAATCAGGTAGACTTTGAAGTAGAAGATCAGCATGTTCTTGTTCTCCTATTGTACATCTTAAAGATGTAAGCTGAGAAAATAAAGTGTTCAGCGTGTTTAAGTGCTCCGTTACTGAAGTAGATTCCGGCATCCGGAGAGTGTACAATTTCCTCTTAAGGAAAATTTTATTATGTAACGATGTGGCCTCGTACAATTTGGTGAGATGATCTCATATCTCCTTAGTTGTCTTCTTCTCATCGATGCTTGACAATACTTCATCTGTTAATGCTAGATGAAAGTTTGCCATAGCATTCCCGTCCATTTCGATCCATTTGTTGTCATCTGTGAAATCTACCGGTCTTTCACTAATAGCTGCTAGACAACCGTCTTTCCTCAAGATGACCTTTATATTCAATTTTCACAATGAAAAATTTCTCCCATTGAATTTTTCAATATCATATTTTATTGTCATAGCTTCTTTTACGGATAGCTCCCACTATTTCACTATTGTGAATAGTTCTCTAGAACCTTTAAAGAATGGGTAATAACTTCTTACTTTCTTATGTTGGAGGATCCATCTTTTGGTGGCAACCACAAAGACAATAAACAGATATTACACACTCTAATCTAGCTCTGATACCAATTGTTGCGGAAGACGGCTATCGAATAGAGCAAAATCGTAACTGATAATTTGAGAAAATAAAAATGAAGATAAAGAATACACAAAATTTACGTGGAAAACCCCTAAATAATATAGAGTAAAAACCACGGGCAACGGTAGAAGAATTTCACTATGAGAAAATCGGAATTACAACCTCTCTCGATCTACCAAGGAGAAAACAATGATAATTCTCTCTTGATAAAAAAACAACTCTCAAGAAACTCTCTAAATTCTCTCTAGTATTGGAAGAAAGCTAGAATGTTTTGGGATGATTTTGAAGCTAAATGAGCTAGGGTATTTATAGTTGAAGCTGAAGGACTAATTTTGTAAATATCCTAAAATACAATGACTAAAATATATAATTTTACCATGTCACTTTTCAATCATTATTAGTGCCAACTATGAACCATTATTGTTGTCAACTTACAATGCATTATGCAACTATTATTAGTTGCATGACAACTAATAATTAATAACATAAATATACATTTATATATATTATTAAGGGCACGAATCAAATGACATGGGTGATTAAAAGGTGGTTATTATCTATAGAAGTTTTGAATTTGAGCACGACGTCTATAATATATTTTAGCTTTATTATCAAATAATTAAGAGTCTTTCGAGTATATACTATCTTATTATAATAATCCGAAACTAATAAAAGTAAATAATATTATTAGGGTTTTCGCATGATATATAATTGCCTACAAAATTTGTATAGCCATGCAGACGAGTCCCGTCAACCTTCTTCATCCATGCAAATGCATGATTTCAAGTTTTAACTGTTACGTACGGTGAATTGGCCTACAAATGTATGATTATTACTCTACATAGAGATTTTTTTTATTACTTTATGTCGGTAAAATTATTATAAAATCTGTCATTTACATTCTCTGGACAAAAAAAAACGAACAAAGAAATGAATAATTATGTCGTGAAGAACTACTGTTTTAGAAATAAATTCGTCCGATTATTATAATCGTTGCATTGAACAATGTACTCTAAAATTAACACGGTCTCCAAAAATCATACACCTAAAATTTAGAGTGTACTATAGTAGTATTGCTCTTCTCTTACGAAGGAACTCGAGAAGAATCAAGGAACTTTGAAAAATACACAAAACATTGAGAGAGAAATCATATTTTGGAATAATTTAAAAATACTGAAAATTTAGTATTTATAAGTTGAACTCAACAGTTGTAAACTGACAACTGTAGTTAAAACTATAATGTTACAGTAAAAATAGTTGTATCATCAAATGCTATAACAACCGTTGTAACAGTCGAAATTAAGATTGATCTTATATGGATTAGAGTCGCAGTAATTTCAGATCTAGACAATCAACCACAATTATAATTGTGATTAAAAATTTCATGTCTATACATATGCGCTACACGAACACAAATCGAGTCGGCTGAACGACGACAGCTCTTCTCTATATAAGATTACATGCTTTATGCTCTTTTAACCAGAGTCGATTAATAGGAATAGCAGTCTAAGCGATTGCATCCCTTTCTCCATTTCTCTTATTAACTCATTTTGTTTTGAATTAAATGTAATCATATCTTTTCTTCAAATATCATTCTTCATTTTACCAATTCTTTTACTCTCAGTTTTCTCTAATATCAATCTAACACTAAAACAATACAATGTTCTTTATTTTTTAATTTATTATTCAAAATCAAGTTCCATATCATACCCACGACTATTTTTTTATTCCCTTAATTATATTTAAGGTGTTTTCTTAATAAAACGATGAAAATAACATTTGACAAAATTTAATTGTTTTTCTATAACTTATTAATGTGTATTAAACTAATTATTTAAATTACTAGAATATACTCTCGTTTTATAACGATTTATTTTTAAGTTTTCACCCGGGATGATGACTATGCTTTTTAACATTACCAACACTTTATATCTTGTTTACTGTAACAAAAAGGAGATCCATATTGCTACATTTGCATGGAAATAGGAAGCTTAAGGAAAGTGACAGAGCTTACGAGCTTTCCACTTTTGTCTTTCTTTTTTCATAGTATGTTTATGTGTATTTATATTATGTATGAGTTAGATTCTTATGCTTGTCGATCCAACACCCTCAGATTCTGTCTTTAAAAGTACAATTCTACTTTCACTTTCATGCACTGTGACCGGACATTCCACTTTCAATGATACCATGCTAACTAATGGATTTCAACTCTCCATTCATTAAATTAATAATTTTCATCAACATTAATACATTAGTAATTTATAAAAAAATATAAATTTGTTCCTTAAAATTATTATTACTGAAAAAAATAACTATAAACATCACATATGACTCTGTAACGGACATAAAAATATATTACTTATAAAAATTAATATATTAATATGTAATAGATATTAATTTAGAAAATATTTTTTAATAATATTTTAATCAAATAAACCAAAACATTTTCCCAGGTTTTGTGTCGAAAATGACGATTGAGAATCTTTGCAGACCCTTTTTGTCGTGCAGCGCAATTTAAGTATAAATTAGGAGTAATAAATAATAAAAATATTGTAATGTCCCTCTCGTTTATTTTACCTTAATTTTAAAAAATTGCCAATTTATAAAAAAAATTCTTACAACCACGTATGACACATCACCATCCCATCATCATTCGACAGACTCTTAAATTACATAATTACCCCTACTTTTCATCAAAATATGTAGAACACCCTTGTGAGATCTGGCACCTAGGAAAAACCCTATGCCCTAGGTGCACGTGAAGGTTGAGAATTTTTGTACCATTGTCGGGTCCTTTTCGATAAGGATTCGATCAGTGCACCCGTGAACCGAGATGAGGCTATTTTCGTCACTTCACTCGCTCACGGCGGCTGCGAGTTCAGTGTCGGTCTCGTGGTTTTCGGTCAAATGCAGGGGCTTTTCAGGAATAAAATTGCTTTTGTAAAATTGTCGCTGGAAAACGACGAAGTCTTCAACTTGAAGCTGTCGTCCGCCAGCATCGTTTGAAATAAAATAGCTTGTGTAGTTGTATTGGATCTTTAACAAGTAAAAATCTCTATAGTGGCCCCCAATGTCTATGAAGTACTGCTTAATAAAGTCATAATGCCAAAAATAACGTATAATATTTATTAAAATAATTATTTTAGTCTATATTTTTTTTATGAGTATTTTGGTCCTAACGTTTTATTTTGAGGTAAAAAGTTCTCCATATAGATGGAAACTATTAGTTAACACATGATTAACATTCTAAAATAGAAATATTTTTAACCTAAAATAAAATATTGAGGGCTAAAATACTCTTAAAAAAAGAATAAGAGACAAAGTGATTATTTTGACAAATATTATGAGTTTTTACCCTAAAATGAAATATTGAGGGTTAAAATATTCTAGAAAAAAAATAAGAGAAAAAGTGATTATTTTGACAAATATTATGAGTTTTTTTACTCTAAAATAAAATGTTAGAAGCTAAAATACTTCAAAAAAAATAGAATAGGAAACAAAATGACAATTTTAGTAAACGTTGGGGGATATTTTTGACATTATACCTTTAATAAACCTATCAAACGTCTTCAATGGAAAAAAAATGTAGTTTTTCTATAAATTTTGGATTTAAGTAATTATATATGCACTATCAATAGTTAAACAAAATTATAAACTGATATTATCGTATAATCAACTCTGTTAATTTTTTTCTTTTATCGTAACAAAGCTCATAAAAATACTCTTTTCAGTAATGTGCAGTAATTCAATTAAAAGCTTTTATTAATGAAACTGGTAAATATTTTTATATAATAAAAAAGCTATCATATTACATAATTATTTTCAATATATTAAAATTCATAAAATTAATTGCTAATTATTACATTTAATACAAATTGTACACATTTATTTATTTTATTATATATTGAGTATTTTATACATCAAAATAATCACTAGAGTAGTAGTTAAAATTCTTAGTGAGATTATGAGTATGTTATTCAAATAAAGACAAATGAAAGATTATAAAAATAAATATCGTTATATTAAATAAATTCACACGTCACATTGTTAATTTTATGATCCGAATCCTCAAAAGGATGAAATCTTGTTCACTACTAGATAACTTAAATAATAATTTTTACTGCTTTACTGCTTGTGTTTTTTAGATTTATACGATAAATCAACAATTAAATAAACAATATTATAACCAAAAACACTAAACTTACATAAAGAATTAAACAATAAAAATCATGAATATAAATTTTATTATATTGGCGATAAATACAAGAAGATTTCACAAAAATACTTCAGATTGTAGAATATTATTTATATATATATTTGTAAAAAAAATAAATATTTTTTATTAAGTAGAGACATATTATATTTTTAAGATAAATGTCAGAATTCAAACCACATAAAGTGGGACAACATGAACATCATCAACCATTCGACCAATTAATGAATCTCACATAAATCCTAATTTCGCTAAACTGCATCACACTGTTAGATTTCACATTCATCACATATATTTAATTTTCTTCTAATTTATTTCTTCATCAAACGAATCTTACTATAACTTTTTCGAACCAAAACAAATAAAATTCAAATCACAATATGCCTTTAAAAGGAGTGGTAATGCATGGAGTAGATTTGAAATGATAAACTAATATAGGGTAACTAACTCCAAAAAAAATTAAAATTTTTGGGATAAGAACAATTTATTATAACCCCACCCCACCAAAAAAACACTAGGGCAATTTCTTATAGCATTAGTCAAAAGTCTTGAAAATAAATATATACAAGCAGCACCTAGTAGTAATATTAATAATAGACTCTAGCCAAAGATGGTTGGGTTGGCTTCATATATATGTTATTCACTTATCTACAGGTAGAAGAAAGCAGAAATTCATGGTTCTTGTCTTCCTTTAGCTACAACAAAAATCCCCAGCTTTTTGTTTTACTCTTCATTAATATAAACAAATAATTAAAATTCCTGGTGTGTGATGAGCACCCAGAACTAGGAATAATACAAAAGAAAGAAGAAAGAGAGCCTGATTTGGGAAGAAAAACAAAAGCTTTATTTATTTATTTTTGTTTTTTTCTTCCTTCTGTTTCAATGTCAAATATCAAAGTTGATGAAGGTAACGGCTTCTCCTCTGAAGCTCAACACAGCTTCCATGGCTCCAACTCTTTGCTTCCGACTAACAGCAACGCCTCGACTGCTCCGAAAGACCAACCGCACACGGTGCCTCCGCCTGCGAAGAAGAAACGGAGCCTCCCGGGCACTCCTGGTAAGTTATCGGAAAAAGGGTTTGAAGATCTTGGGAATGGAGGAATGATTCATGTGTTTTGTTTGGTAAAATGTTTTACTGATAAGTTATCAGAATATAATTAAGCAGATGAAACAATTCAAGTTGTTTTTGTTGGCTTTTACTTGCTGGATTTGGAAAGTTTTTGGATCAAACACAAAAAGGAAAACATTTTTTAAGCTGGTCTTGTTATGAACAAGATCTTAGTACTTTTTCTCGGGAAAAAATATTAGTTTTTTTAAGAACAGATCTGGGTTGAATTATTGAAGTTTTCATTCTTTATGCTGTGCAAAGGAAAAGGGTTTCAATTATTGGTTGAGTATCACAATCATTGCAGTATAAACAGTTTGGCTTACCCTAGTTGCTCTCCCTTTTGTTCTTTCATTTCTTTTGCTTAAAACTATTTAATGGTAAAGAGGTGAGTATTCGAAGTAGATTTAAATTAATTTTTTTTGAGTTGATAGAGTTGATGAATACTATCTTATAACTCAAATTTTATTTAAATTTTTTTGAGTCGAGTTGAATTTATGAAATTCAAGTTATTCAAGTTTACATTTAAACTTAATTGTAAATATTTATTAGGTTATAGTACTATTTGATTTCAATTTAAACAGTTTTTATAGCTATATAATATACATATATATCGTACAGAGTTTAGATACTCGACTTAAACTTGAACACTAATCCACTCATGACTAAAATTTTTGAGTTATTTGAGTTTCATTTTATATCTCAAATCAAATTTGAATTTTTTCGAGTTAAATCAAGTCGAGTTTTTTAACGTTAAATCAGGTCAAAAATTTTATTTTTTAGTCAAATTTCACTCCCTCATGCCCAAAGTGAATGATATATTAAAATTTTAATATATTATTTTTTCAAGTTACTCGTCAACTTTTCTAATCGGGTCAAATAGTTCATTTTGACTCCTTAATAACTCGAATTAAGTTCGAACTCAAGTAAAATCTATTATATTCAAGTGTTGCTTGAATTTTGATCAAAGAAACTCGAATAATTGGTATATATAGTCTCATTTACAACCCTACTTATTTCTCACTCTTTTGTTCTTTCCTTTCTTTTGGTTTCAATTGTTTAAAGGTAAAAAAGTAACCCAAAGTGACTGAAATCATAGTGGCTTGCATGGTTTCTTTTCTTTGATGTGCAGATCCAAATGCAGAAGTGATTGCTTTATCACCAAAGTCACTTCTAGCCACGAATCGATTCGTGTGTGAAATCTGCAACAAAGGGTTCCAAAGAGATCAGAACCTTCAGCTCCATCGTCGGGGCCATAATCTGCCATGGAAGCTGAAGCAAAGAACCACAACTGAGATTCGGAAAAGGGTTTACGTTTGCCCGGAGCCTTCGTGCGTACACCACAACCCGGCTCGAGCACTAGGCGATCTCACGGGGATCAAGAAACATTTCTGTCGAAAACATGGCGAGAAGAAATGGAAATGCGATAAGTGTTCGAAGAAATATGCCGTGCAATCTGATTGGAAAGCTCATTCGAAGACCTGTGGCACAAAGGAATACAAATGTGACTGTGGCACCATTTTCTCCAGGTATATATATATATATATATATATATATGCTTCATATCATTTAGATTGGTTCAACATATAATATTGTATTTTGGGGTGTTGAATATGAAGCTTAAAGAGTTAAAGTCTTTGTTTGACCCATAGAATTGTTATTTTAATAATGATGATCTCATCACATCAATAATGTTAGTCAATGTTCAAGGTCTTAACCATGGTTCTCGTCTATAATCTTAATGTTAAGTGATAAATTGATTAACCAAAACATTTTATTTTATTTTATTTTGCAGAAGGGACAGTTTTATAACGCATAGAGCTTTTTGTGATGCCCTAACCGAAGAAAACAACAAAGCAAGCCAAGAACTTGTAGTACCAAACAGTGGACCGACAAATCTACAAGGCCAAGTTATTGCCGCTGCCGCTGATCAACTCATACCTGCAATTCCCATCAATAACAATCCCAACATATCAGATCCATTCGGCAATGACACTAAAAGCTCTTTGCAGCCGTTAAACATGGCGGGGACCATGTTTTCAAACGGTCACGGAAGCCTGTTCGGTGGAGTGAAACCCGGCAATCTTCCGTTGACGAGGTTATTTGACGGAAACAGCGGTCACCTCTTTTCCGGCTCGGCCTCCGTGTCCGCCACTGCATTGTTGCAGAAAGCAGCTCAAATGGGTGCAACCGCAAGTAGCAGCAGCCTCAACACTCCGTTGATTAACCAAAGTTTGGTCACCACAAGTACCATGGCACCACCATCGTTTGTTTCAATGCAAACTCGGGATAACAACAATCAATCGGATTTTTTCAATGCAAATGGAGGGATTGATCAAATTTTTTCCGGGATTTTCGAGCAAAACAATGCAAGTAGTTTTGGTTTATCAGGTTTCAGTGCTGATATGATGACTGTTGATTTCTTAGGGATTGGGGGATCGAGACCGACGAATGTACTTGAGAAACAGCATCATCAGCAGCAGCAACAACAAGATTTGGATCAGTTGGGAGGAATTGGGGAAGGTAGGGTTCTAGGGTTGAGTCATTTTCAGCAACATGCAGTGTTGGAGAAACCAATGTGGAAAGTTTAAAAATAGAAGTAGAGAGCTTAGCTATCTCCCCTTTGCCTTTAACTTCTTTTATCACTTCTCTTTTTGAAGTATATTCTTGTAATTGTAGCCATGGATTAATGTTTGAGATAAATCTAAATATTCTCGCTAAAGGGCAAGATGTTATGCATTACACCGATGGATTTCTAAGGTTTTTTTTTTCTAAATATATTGGGTATCTTCCCTTCGATCTCGATAGATCTAAAAATATTTTTGAGAACATTAACAACATAAAAAATTCATATGAGATGAACACTGATAAATTTTTAAAATAAAGACAATTATTAAAGTAAATAATTACTAAAAGAAAATTAACGATAGAGGCAAAGCATGTCAACGAAAGAACAATGATAAATTTGACATCTCTTATCTCACTGTCATCCCTAAACTTCGGCTAAAGATGTAGGCAAAATTACTAAGGTATATGGGTTTTTTATGTTTTTTTATTTAGCCCATTAGCGCAAGTTAAAATTTATTTTGGTATCTACGACATTTTCTACAGTGATATAAAATTCGTCATGTCGAGGTGATGAGTTCCAATAAATTTTTTTTATTCTAACTTGTAACTTCGATGTGATAAATTTTAATAAAAAATATTTTTTTAGAACTCGCACGCCATAAATCTCAAAATAAATTTTGACTTGTCCTAATGGACTAAATAAAAAAGCCATTATCTTTATTGGGCTAAATCAAAAAGCCATTCTCTTTATTGGGCTAAATGATGTAAGCAATTATTTTATTTATTTTATGCTTGTTCAAGTTCAACTCGAAATATGAATCTCAAATATTATCTAAATTTATACTATGTATTGATAAATGATAAACTCAAGATTGTTTTCGACTGGGTCATAATATATTAAAATAAATGAGTAATAGATACAAGTACATAACTAGGATACCAGCTCAAGGGGATAACATATAATGAACTACAAAAAAATAGGGACGAAACTAAAATAAACTAAAAATTATGAGGTCTAATTTAAAATTGACCCATATGTTATTTTTAATAGATTTATAAACATAAAAATCTGGTTGGGTTGAGTTTTAAATGTTGAAGCAGGAGTGCAGTCCCAAGTCCCAACTCATAATTTAAAGGAACCCTTCTTTTTGTTTGAACCTGATAACTTTATTTAAACTCTTTCAAATTTTAAATAAATGGTTTAATATAAATAAATTAAAACAACCATGCATGCCCGTATAGTACCCATGAAGCCCAAATATCAAACCTAAAAGTAAACGATCAAAAGAGGCCCAAAATTAAAACAATTAGCCCTATCGCACATTTGTGGCTCTGAGCACCTGAAGAAACCAAATAAAACATAGCCACAGAAACCTGATAGCACATTCAAGCAATCGATACGCTATTCGTATGCACAAACGCTTCACTCTCACAGCTGAAACACTCGGACAAAGTAGCATATCTAAGCGTCCAGATTGGACCCTCAATACTAAATGGCATTGCAGCAGTAAATTCATGCCTGTAAATGCGACTCTCGGACCCGAATTTACACGACACAATCATCCAACAACGGCCCAAAGGAGACTTTCCGAGATGTGAAAACGAGGGCGGGGAAGTCTCCGGCCGAGGAATTCGCGCCGCTCGCCGCCACATTCAACCGCCGCTTGCTTTTCGGCGTCGGTTCGGCTTCTCTGGTAGCTGTGGGCGCGAATTTCGGTGGCATAACGAGTTTCCTACTGGGGTTGGTACCGGAGGGCGGTCGGAGTTTGAAGCTGGATGTGCTTTATCCGATCCGAGGATACGGCCGGCGTATCGAAAACAACGAAGGATTCGGTTAGTACGTTCGATATACGACCTGACTTATTCCTCAAGTAACTTATTCCTTGAGTTCAACGCTGCAGAGTTTATATATCCGGCTAATTGGGTTGGAGATCAAAGGCTGCTATATAGAGCAGCTGAGAAACTAGAGAGATCACTTGATCCGCTCCCCACCAACAGTCCGAAATCCGGCAACCGTCCCCGGAAGAATGTGAACGAGCCGATTGTCGCATACGGTCCGCCTGGTTCAAGTGGTAAGCTCAATGTTAGTGTCATTGTTTCACCGGTCCCCTTAGACTTCTCGTGAGTACTACTACATCAGTTCTATGGTATAGTTGTGGTTTAATCTCTTTATTATGCTAAAATTTGCAATGTAATCCCTTAACTTTAGTTTGATATAATTTGGTTGTTTTCTTTTGACTTAGAATTGAAACATTTGGAGGGCCGAAAGAGGTGGGAGAAGCTGTGGTTCGGACCGTAACAGGGCAACGCTCCGACGTGAAAGGGACCTTGATCGAATCAAGGGTCAGAGAGGATCCTAACAAGAATGTGAAGAACTACGAGCTGGAGTTCAAGGTCGAAAGCCCCTCGTTCAACCGGCAAAACGTCGCCGTTTGTTGTGCTCGTGGGGGTAGGCTATTCACCCTGAATGCTCAAGCTGCGGAATCGGCATGGCTGGAGTTGAAGCCGGTGTTCTATAGAATCGCTAACTCATTTAATCTCACCTCTTGATATGGAACTTTCTGCTTGGCTTGTATTCTTTTTTCCTTCTAACAAAGGCTGTTGAGGTTCTGCAATATGATGCCTTGGGCAATTGGTTGTATAAATAGTCAAAATGATCAAAATGGAATAACTACAAAGAAACAAGGATCTATTGAGTATTTAAACCTTAAAATTAGAGTCACATTTTAATTTAACTAATATTTAAATTTATAAGGACTTAAAATTTTATTTGACCAAAAACTAAGTACTTAAATTTGGTTTATTGATTCAAATTGCTACTTAAATTTTACTTTTTGATTCAATTTGGTATTTGTATTTCTTGTTCAATTAGATATTTGAAATTATTTTTTAAAATTATTCAAATTAAATCCGTTTAGATCGGACTAACTTATACGAATTCCAATGATTTTGAAATTTTATAATATACAAATATTTTTGTTTTATAGGTAATAATTAATTATAAAAATCTATAAGTACCAAATTGGACTAAAAAACAAATTCTCATACTAATTTGAAGAAAGAAAGAAATTTCAAGGGATACAAGTGAAATTTCCCTTCTTTTACAAGACCGGAGTTGAGAGTCGAGAGTGAGAGATCCATTCTTCCAAACCAAACAGGCCAACTGCCACAACAAAAAACTCCGCCTTAAAAACTACCTTATAGCATCTCTTTTTATACCGGAAAAAAAGAAGCATTTCTCCGGCCTCAAATCTAATACAGATATAAATCTTAGAACAAATCTAAATCTGCAGGAAGAACAAACAACAAAGAGGGAAAAAAAGCAAAAGAGAAAATGGCGACGATGGCGAGGACAAGCACTGGCCTCGCCTACCCTGACCGGTTCTACGCGGCGGCTTCTTTTGCTGGATTCGACGGATCTCCCAATTCCGCTAACAAAGACATCACCTCCAAGTTCTCCAACGAAGTCTCTTTGATCCTCTACGCCTTATACCAGCAGGTGATTTATCCTTTCTCCTTCCTCTCTATCAATTTTCATCGGATCTTGCTTGCTTCATTTCGAGCAATGTCATGTTCATCTTATTTCAGATTAGGATTTCAATTTTTTAATTTGTGTTGTAATTTAGCTAGATCTAACTGTACACCGAATTTAAGGCAATTCGAGTTTTGGTCTCTCGGATAATCTGATACGTAGTTTTATCATTTGAATTAGTAACCTCATGTTTATCAATTGAATACGTTTTCTGTCTGCTCCATAGCAAAGGGATTTGCTTCTGCAATTTCTAGCAATGCGTGTTTATTTTCTTTCAGCTAAGGATTTTTTATGTTACCTCGCCTCTTCTTTTATAGTTTTTTCTTCTGAAAGGCTTTTTTTTATAGTTTGTATGATGTTGTTTTGGACTTTTGAAGTATAATTTAGGTTGATTGGGTTTTATACTGAATTTAAGTCAGATTCGAATTTTGGTCATTCTGATCATAGAATACGTATTTATTTATCATTTGAATTAGGAAACTAACGTTTATCTATCAAATGACGTGGATTTGATTTTGAGGATTTTGAGCAATGACATGTTTATCTTATTCCAGCCAAGGATTTCATGTGTTAGATTGCTTTTTTGTTTTTCAATTTTATTCATATTATATTTCTTTTTTGGTTTTTTAATTTAATTCATGTGTTGGTTTGGTCTTTTGAAGTGTAATTTAGGTAGATCTGGTTTTTCACTAAATTTAAGGCAATTCGAAATTTAGTTTCTCAGATGATCAAATACGTATTTATTCATCATTTGAATTTGGAACTTCATCTTTCATTAGTATACTAACTTTCTGCTTTATAATGTGAATATGTGATTTACAGGCTACTGTAGGTCCTTGTAATGTTCCAAAACCTAGTTCTTGGAGTCCCGTCGAGCAAGGCAAATGGAAAAGGTCTACATGCTCATTTACTGTTGTGTATTACCGTTCTGGTGCTTCTTGTTGTTTGCACTCTAACTGGGATAATTTCTTATCTGTTTGCATTTCGTGTTTATACTCTGCTTTTTTAGCTTGCTTTGATATGCTTAGGGTGGTAGTGTTATGATATTTGTTTAATAGCAATGCTGAAGATAATAAAGTTGATATATTGAGATGTGAATGGGTAGGTCACATATTGGTATCAATTACTTATATGGGTTGGATTCTTTTAGTAGGAATTGCAGCCCTGTTCTGCATGGTTGATATTGCTCAATTCTTGTGGAAAAAGAATGGTGAAGTATTTCTTTGTTAGTTTATATTATTTAGCCTTGATTGGTCCAACTTTCTGTGCCATATATGCATGCTTTTATACATGCGCACAAGGATTTACATGGCTGATACTAATATATTACTTCAGAATTCAGATGGATAATATTTTCGTCCTTTTTGATAATTATTCTTATAGTAAAGCTTTTCAATCTTTATACAGCTGGCAGCAGCTTGGAAACATGGCTTCTACAGAAGCTATGCGTCTCTTTGTGAAAATATTGGAGGTAAAAGCCAATAACATTTTCTGTTTTTCTTTTGTTTGTTTTGATGAGTTCCAGTTAGCTTAATATAATTATTTTGTCTTTTACTCCTTGTTCTTTGATTTCTTGTTCAGGAAGAAGATCCAGGATGGTATTCAAGGGTATCTAACTCTGTTGAGCCTATTAAAGACGTACCGATGAATGTGAGCAAGCTGTTATTTACACAATTTTGGTTATGTGATTTAACATTTTCCCTGTTTTGGTTCTTTGACTACCCTTTCAAGGGCATGTAATTCTGTTCCTGATCTTGTTCTCAAGTTTTGAAGAAGTTGGTTTCCTCATAATTTTTCTATCTGCATCTACTTAAAATTTGAATGAGTGAAGCCAAGTTGCTTACCGCGAGATGCTTGTATTTAGCCTTGTTGTTCTCTGTACTCACTTTTTCCTTCTCAACTTGTTTGTGTGGTCATAGAATAATTCAAATGTTGAGCCTTTCATTGAGAATGGGAATTCCTTTGCGGAGACAAAGACCGTTTCTGCTGAAATTGGAAACCTGATGGAAGCTCAGGACAAAGATGTTGTATCAGAAGGCCTTGGTTCAGTTGTCATATATGATCAATGGGTTTCACCTCCAATAACTGGTCAACGTCCTAAAGCCCGATATGAGGTATTGGCATCTCTATCTTTTAAAGACCAGTTCTTTCTTTCTTCTTTCCTTTTTCCTTATCTAAAGAATCCTTAATCTTATTTGTTAGCATGGAGCGGCAGTTGTTCAGGATAAGATGTATATATGGTGGAAACCACAATGGTCGCTACCTGAGTGACCTTAATGTAAGTAAATTATTTACTTCAACATGCAACACACATGCTTTATGCCACAAGTTACCTTTGTAATATCCCGAATCCTTAATACAATTCATTTTATTGTTTGTATGTTTTTTTTAATTTATTTTTTTACCTGAAATGAAATATTACTAAATTGCAACTCTCACTTTCCAGCCCATTGCTGGAAATTCTAATCTGATAGCATAGTCATGTATCAGTTCAACCATACATGATAGGTTTCCCCCTAATGTGAGGATTGATACAGGTTCTAGATTTGAGAAGTTGGACTTGGTCAAAGGTTGAAGCTAATATTGGATCTAAGTCAGTGGAATCACCATCTCCCGTAAATGTAACCCCATGTGCTGGTCATTCATTGGTTAGTAGAGAACTGAGTTTCTTTTCTATTTTCCTTTGGTTTCTCAATAGTGAAATTCTCTAATGATAAATGCACAATTCTTTAGAATCTGTATGCATAAAGTTCTTGTATTTGTTATGGTTATCTTTCTACAGACTGCAGTTATATCATCTAACCATCTCTCTCTTTCTCTGCCCCATCTATTTTCCCCATAGATCACTTGGGAGAACAAGCTTCTGTCAATTGCTGGCCACACAAAGGATCCTTCTGAAACTATCCAGGGTACTTGTTTCTGCCCTTTACATCAATTTTAAAAAAAATTAGTACTCAGCTGTTCTTTTTGTTTCTCTTGATGTCTTATTCTGTTGTTCTGTATTCTTATGACAGTGAAGGCATTTGATCCACAAACTGGTTCATGGTCAATATTGAAGACTTATGGGAAAGCACCGGTATCTGTTCTTTCTCTCAACTGCCTTTCTACCCTTGTATCAACTGGACAATTACAGTAATGGTCTGCTGTGCTCTTCACAAAGAATTAGATCAATATCTCTGATAGCGGCAAATGGTGGCTGCTTGCTTTAACCTTTCTTGCGCAATTGAATATGCTATCTAAAATGCTGAAATCCAAATATATCCTAGTGTTGATTGCTGGACAAAGCTTTATTGAAACCTTATCAGCATCTTGGTATGATTCAACAAAGTCTGGGAACAGAACTTGTGAAGCAAAATGTAGATTGCATGTGTGCTTATATAAGCTTGTGTCCCACTCTTTTCCCACACTAGCTTCTTTGATTTTTGTGTATTTTTCTTTCCCAATGTGTCCAATTTGCCTTGCAGGTCTCTCGCGGAGGTCAATCTGTGACCCTTGTTGAATCAACACTAGTGATATTTGGTGGACAGGATGCAAAGCGAACTCTCTTGAATGATCTACATATACTTGACCTAGAAACCATGACCTGGGATGATTTTGATGCTGTGTAAGATAATTTTTTTGGCAATTTTATTGATGCAATATCCCTCCACACCTGTTTTTGGATGTCTGAATTCTTTGTTAAAGATGTGCAACTGATCCTATAGCATTTAACATTAAAATTTAATTGAATTCACATTTGCTGCCTTCCAATTCCCAAAAGTTGGCTTTGAACTAGGGTCTTGTTGCACAGAAAAAATGGCAGGATCCATTTTTAGTCTTGACCTAATTAAAGTTCACTTATCGTACCAGCTAAGATTCTGATTTTGGTTCATAAGATTAGCTTGTGATCATTCATAATGTGGTCTGCTTCATTTCGGTTAAGAACTTAAAAGTTAGATTTCCAAAAGAAATGTTTTATGAATCTGATTTGAAGTTGTGGTATTGCACGTGCTTGAATTCAAACCGTTCTAGTATTAGATTTGAGCTTAGTTTCTACAAGGTTGGTATAATAAATCTAACCTGTTTACAAGAGTACTGTCTACATGTATGAAGTGAAATCCAGCATGATAGAATCCTGATACTGCACTTTTATTTTGAGTAGTCTCCTATACCCTATTATTTTATAGATTGGAAGTGTCGTTTGAAATTTATATTACTCAGTAAATCTTAATATTCATTTATCTTCGTTGTCATGCAGGGGGGTACCTCCATCACCCCGGTCTGATCATGCTGCTGCTGTACATGCAGAGCGTTATCTTCTTATTTTTGGTGGGGGTTCACATGCAACATGCTTCAATGAATTGCATGTCCTAGATTTGCAAGCGGTAAGATAACTACTGCTCACTTTCTTTGCATGTGATTGAGGAAGTAGTATATTGATCTTTTATATATTTGGATCTGTAGATGGAATGGTCGAGGCCCACACAACAAGGGGAGATACCAACTCCTAGGGCTGGTCATGCAGGTGTGACTATTGGGGAGAACTGGTTTATTGTTGGTGGTGGAGACAATAAAAGCGGTAAATGTCTTCAAATCAAATAGAAGATCATTATTGTTCCTTGGATGACTTTTCCAGGCCATGCGTACTTTTAGTGTCAATGGATTGTAAAATGCCTCCGTCACATGTTAAAATAAGAAAAAGCTTAGTTGGATCTGTTAATTTGCATGGAAAAGTTGTTATCGTTACTTCTCCTTATTCTTAATTGATTGCCCTATTCTCATCTTGCAGGTGCATCAGAAACTGTTGTCCTTAACATGTCAACCCTTGTTTGGTCAGTTGTCACATCAGTTGAAGGGCGTGTTCCTCTTGCTAGTGAGGTATTTTACATTTTTACAAATGCTTGTAGCCTGTAAAATGCTACGCATGTGGCTAACCTCTCCTAGATTGTTTCATCATATGTTTATTGCTCTTTTGCAATAGGCATGTAATATAGCTTCTTTTCTTTCATTTATTTAGTTGTATGTAATGCATGTCTTAGCAGTATATGATGTTACACTATAAACAAGAGATAACATCCAGTTTCAATGATGGGAGTTGCGAAATTGTCATTTAATTGTCTCCTATTTTAGGGCCCAAGTCTGGTTGTAGGATCCATCAATGGGGAAGATATACTTGTATCTTTTGGAGGATATAATGGGCGTTATAACAACGAGGTAGACAATTTTCCCACTTTATTATACTGCTTGGTCGTTTCGATTATATTTGATCATTTGTTTTTCTTCCAGGTTAATGTTCTTAAGCCCAGTCATAAGTCTACTTTGCAATCAAAGATCATGGAGTCCCCTATTCCCAACAGTGTTTCTGCTGTGCATAATGCCACAAATCCTACCAGAGATTTGGAATCTGAGCTTGAAGTTGGTCAGGAAGGAAAATACGAGAAATTGTTATGGATAACAATGATCCGGAGCCCATGGTATGTAATATGGTGGATCTAGTGTAGTTCATAACTTTCAGAAGTAACATCAGAAATTTGCTTTTATCATGTCCCAATGTGGCGAAACTTATAAGCAAATAGTTAGTTTATTTACAATCTACATGCAATAACATCTTTTACCAGTTATGGTTCAATAATTAAGAAGTATTGAAGTTTTAAGGTGTCTTGATTGTCAATTTGTCTTTCCCACTAAAGTATATGCAGAAATTCAAATGTGAGGAGACTAGTCAGCGCATTACAGCAGCGCTCAAGGCGGAGAAGGAAGAACTAGAATCATCACTCAACAAGGAGAAATTGCAATCTCTCCGGCTGAAGGAAGAACTAACTGAAGCTGAAACTCGAAACATGGACCTGTACAAGGTAATTTTTTATTTATTTATGTGATGTCTGGTCATGTAGTTAGTTCATCGTTTCATATGCAAGTCTGAAGACAGTGGTGCCTACAAGCTTAGACATTTTCTTTCTCACTGCATTCCATCTATATTTTAGGAGCTCCAATCCGTACGTGGTCACCTTGCTGCCGAGCAATCAAGATGTTTCAAATTAGAGGTATATAACATTTAGATCCAGATAACAATGTCATCGCTTACGGTATACCTTTTTATCTGTTTCCTCATTGAATGGGCCATTCGAACTCTGATTTCCTTTAATGCTTCCATTGTCTGATGTTTTTAAACGAGAACTTAAAATGCAGTTAAGGTTCACAATTACGTAATGACGCATATCGGATGAATTCAAAATATTGCTCAACTTTTTCGATAGTATGCCTCCAAAGTACCGACCTTTGGTTGTTGTAGGGTGAAAGCCTCTAATTGTCTTTATAATACTCTTCAATGAGCAGGTTGATGTTGCGGAACTGCGACAAAAGCTTCAGACTATAGAAACACTACAAAAGGAACTCGAACTCCTGCAACGACAGAAAGCTGCATCCGAACAAGCCTTAAATGCAAAGCAGAGGCAAGGATCAGGTGGCGTATGGGGTTGGCTCGCAGGCAGCCCTCCGCAAAATGCCGCCGACGATGCCTGAGAAGCCTAATTAAACAGATTGATCCATTTTTAGTTCAAATACATATAGTTTTCTACTAAATCAAAGTTCTTACTATGATGGGATTAGTTAGCCCAAACCCAAATCAACCGTCGAGGGTTTTTTTTGCATGTCTGCGTAGATTCTAGTTTCAGTTTATATAGTCTTTACATATATGGCCGTGGATCCAATAGTTTTCTTTTTGGCAATGTCGTATCAGAATTTGTGTTCGTAGTATACTTTGGTTACTTGAGTGAAAATTGATTTTCATTAATGACTTATTTTTAAAATTTAATTTTCTTCCTTATCCCTTACCCAAACAAAATTTAAATAATGAATTCCGGCACAAGAAAATTATTTATAAATATAACTTAGTTTGAGACTTTTTCTTTCTTTACCCCAAAATAATACAAAACAAATAACTTCCCAAACAATCTCAACATAAAATTACACTTTTTCGTAACGTGTGTATATATATATATAGAGAGAGAGAGAGAGAAAACTAAAAGCTAAACAAAGAATAAGAAGTTAATAAACCGTGGTACTCTATTAACTTTAAAAGACAAATAAATCAAGAGTATAAAAATAGTCTAACTGTAATTTTAGTCTCTTTATGTCAAAATTTGGATTAAACTCCTCTGCCTTTTTTTTACAAGCAATCCATGTACTTTAATTGAGCACAATTTAATCTCTTCTTACAATATGAATTGATAACACTATTAGTTGTTACCATTAAAGTGATGATTTGATATTTTTTCATTATTCACAAATTAAAATAAGATGAAAGTTTAATCGATTATATTAGATCAATAATAAATTTACGTGTCAATCAAGTACTTAACTTTTTTTTGTTAAAAGTATTGGCATCACATTGACCTTTGAAAAATAATAATATAATCAATTTAGACTTATTGATAACATTATAAAAATAAAAGAGAAATTATGTTAGATTAAAATAGAGAAATTAAGTCTCGAATTTGGTGCCAATATTTAACCAAAACTAAATCCCACCAAAAAAATCTCGAATTTAACTAAAACTAAAATTAAACCAAAAGGATTGGTTGGAGAATTAATCCATCAAAAAAAAAACCTCTTGCCGCTAAAAAAATCCCCTTATTTAATTCGTATTCTGTTTCGTATCCCTGTATATAATCATCACCATTCTCCCTTCTCTCCTTCATTCTCATCCCCAAAATTCCAACAATGGATCTCACGCCATTAGAAATCAATCTCCATTGTGCCAAAGACCTCAAGAACGTCAATATTTTCACCAAGATGAACGTCTACGCCGTCGTTTCAATCAACGGCGACCGTCGCACGGCGCAGAAAACCCCCATCGACAAGGAGTGCGGAGCGTACCCGAACTGGAATTACACCATGAATATGACCATCGACGAGGCCATCGCCCGTCGGAACCACCACAACCTCGTTATCCGATTGAAGTCCGGACGCATGCTGGGCGACAAAGAGATCGGAACCGTCCAGGTTCCGATTAAGGACCTGCTCGATCACAACGACGGGAACGCAAAGGTCGGGTACCAGAACGTGAGTTACAGCGTCAGGTTGCCGAACGGGAAGACGAAAGGGGTGTTGAATTTCTCTTACAAATTCGGGGAACAGTTCACCATGCCCGCCGTCGCGCCGCCTCCGATCACGGGGTCCTCATCCATGTACGTAGATAGAAACAATAATATGAGTAACAAACACGGGGAGAAGCTGGTTATGGCGTATCCGCCGCCGCCTGGTTATCCGGGGCCGAGCTCTGGGCATCATGTCCCGACGCCTCCACAGGGAATGGCGGGGTATGCTTATCCTCCATCCGGTGGCTATCCTCCGCCGCCGTATGGGTACCAACAGGGACCACCTCAGGGGTATGTGTATCCGGCGAACGGTGGATATGGGTACCCGCCTCCGGTGCAGCAACCGCAGAAGGCGAGGAAAGGAGGGATGGGAGCAGGGTTGGGATTGGGGATAGCTGGCGGATTATTGGGCGGAATGTTGATCGGTGATATGGTTGAGGATGCTTATGAAGCTGGTGTTGAAGATGGCCTTGATTATGGTTTTTAATTATTAAATTGTTTATAAAAATTTAAATTTTAAATCAAATGTACTTATATTTAAATGTATTTCAATTTATAATTAAATTTAGAAATTTCAGAAGGTTTTTATTAAAATTAATGATTTGTTTCTTTCAAAATATGATCAGATTAAATTAAAAATTTATTGTTTTTAAAATGTGTTAAACTGTTAATTGATTTAAAATTTTAATAAGAAACATTAAGTTAAATTATGTTGATTATCTTTAATTTGTAGAATTAAAACAAAAATGTTTAATTTGATTATTTTAAATCATTTTAATTTAGTTATTTTATCTTTATATTATTCAGATCAGAATTAAAAATTTTAAAAATAAAGTGAAAGTTAAAATACATGGATTAAATACATGGAAACTGTAAAAATATATAATTATTTTATACATTAACATCGAAATTTAAAAAAAAAAACTTCACAAAACGGATTCGATGAGGGAACATTTGACTAATGATTCAACTTAATTGAAAATTGAATATATTTTAAAGGGGGGAAAAGGAGTTTAAAATGGTATTTACATTACCTTAATTTGTGAAAGGCTTAATTAGGAGATTTGGGCTTGGAAGCATGATCCTTATCAGATGAAGAGGACGATTTCTTGGGCAACAACACGGCGTTAATGTTGGGAAGAACTCCGCCGCTTGCGATGGTTACTCCTTGAAGAAGCTTCCCTAACTACTCGTCGTTCCTCACCGCTAACAGTACGTGTCGCGGGTTGATCCTGTTCTTCTTGTTATCACGTGCCGCATTCCCCGCCAATTCCAAAACCTACCGATAAAAAATAATAATAATAATGATCAACTGTTCCGTTACAAAAAAAAATATGCCGAAGCAACAAATCTCACGAGACACAAGCTATTTTTTAGGATCTAATCATGAATATATATCACTGGAAAATCGATTTTGAGATTCATTTAGAATTACAAACAAATGCATAATTTAACAATTTTTTTTCAAAATTTTCTATTATCAAACAAAAAAACAATCTTCTGGAATCGGATCCGAGAGAAAACGAATAAAAATTAAGGAAAAAGAGATCAGATACCTCGGCAGCTAGATACTCAAGGACGGCGGCGAGATAGACGGGAGTGCCGCCACCGTAACGCTGTGCATAACGTCCATTCTTGAGGTAACGAGCAATCCGACCGACGGGAAACTGGAGTCCAGCCTTTGCCGACTTAGAAACCGCCTTCTTCCGGTCTCCTCCCCTCCTGCCTCCGGTTGGCTTTGACGTCAGCTCCACAGCTTGAAAGGCGTTAATTTGCTTTAATTTTTTTGGAACCAAACAAAAAAAACAAAAATCTAAGATTTTTTTTTATTTGATCTGTGCGGAAAACTTTTTTTTTGGATTTTGAATTGTGGAGCGATGGTGATAGTGGAGAGCGGGTGTTTTATGGTTGGATCATGGATGTCTCTAGGTTTAGGCTACTAAGAGTTTGGAATTGGATCAAATTGATAAAAGAAAATGTGGATAGTAATTATTATTATACCATTAATAACATTATCCAATCAAGCCCAAATCTAAAATATGCATTATCTAAACCATGTAATTAAAATATTGGGTAAATACATAAATGGTCCCCTCACTATAGTGGCATTACTTTGTTGTGTCCTCTGATTTTTTAAAAATTATAAAATAATCCTCTGACTATAGGAAACTACTTTTTTGAGTCATTCGATTATTAAAGTTTTAAAATTGTTACCTGACTATTCATATGTTCAAAACTTATCATTTTATGTTGAAAAATTAGCAACCGTTTAAGCTAAATGTTAATATATTAAATGAGATATGATCAAATTTGATCACATAATATATATTACCTTTAATCATCTTAAACTATTAAAAACATAATATATTATCCAATCAATCACCATGAAAATCGATGCAATCAACCAACATATATGTGTGTGTGTAAAATTCTTTAGTGTTACGTAAATTTAGGATCGTTAGATGAATGAAAATATATAGCTGAGATTGACACCTTTTTTTTGCCAATGAATATCTTCTCATTTTTTATTGTTAATCTCTACTATCTATTTCCACTCATTCAATAATCCTAAATATATATAAAATTAAAAGACTTTTACCTTGTATAACAAGATTTTATCTCGTATATATATATATATTGATTAATCGACTACTATACTTTTGGGTATTCAGAAATCACTCTCACAACATATAGAAGTAAACAAAATATTTATATATTCTATTAGATGTTATGTAACCCCCTCAGACTGATGCGGGTAGCCCGATCCGATTCGGGAAGTCACATTAGGGCCACCGGAGCGACCCACTGTAAAAATAGCGGAAAATTTAAAAATTTTTATCAGAACATGTAAACTTATAAAATCATTTGTCACTATTTAAAAATAAAACATATTTTCAGACTTGTATATAAAACAAAATACAATTACATGCCCCCTAATCACATATACCGTACTTTGCAAACAACGCCGGAAGAACTCCCTTACTGATGTCGATATCTACACTGGTACAATTCTTTTAACCTGAAAAGGTGAGTAACAGAGTGAGCTTTGGAAAGCTCAGTAATACAGAACTACCAGATGATGTTGAAGAACGGGCAGATACATATAAACATATATTTCCTTATTGGTTCCAAACATCTACATATTTTTTTATGTTGAGCGGAGATCCTACTGATATTTCAGGTGGTAACGGATAATGAGCGTTCAGTTTAGATAAGTATTTCGAATGACTGAGTTTAGGAGATCAGAATAGGTTATCTAGTGTATTCCCACAAAACCAGTGAAAAGATACATATCTTTTCTTTTAAAACAGTGGCAGTTCAAAACATATTTTTATTCAAAAACCATATTAATCCCTCCAACCGAACACACCATAATGTGTAGGTTCCCCAGAACCATACACCACCAACACACCAAGTAAGGTCCTGAGCACAAAGCAGAGGAGCCTGCAGTAACGGTAACGATAACTTCCTCCAACAACACCCTCCCATAAAACATTTATCAAAAACCATAGTTATCCCTCCAACCGAACACACCATAATGTGTAGGTTCCCTAGAACCATGCACCCACCTACACACCAAGTAAGGCCCTGAGCATAAAGCCGAGGAACCTGCATATATATATACTCCCTCCAACAATACCCCCAAATAAAACATTTACCGTCAATAAACGAAGATATCAGAAAACAAAACATAATTCAGATCATATATCAAAACAAAATCCAGGTCAGGAACCAGAATAGATTTCAGATCAAATGTCAGAACAGAATTCAAATTGGAAATCAGATAAAATAGTCATATGGGTAGGGAACACACCAGAGTTTACAAATATTATTCAGAAGTATAGAATAATCTTATCAGGTAGAGAAATACGAATCTTCAGCATACTGATAGAATGTTGGGATTGAGAATCACTATTGGAAGAATTCAATAACTGACGAAATCATAAGTTATTCATATTGAGACTTATCGAGATCATATCTTATTCATACATTTTTTAGAAGCTTTACATAATCAAAAGGGTATTCAGAATCCTTTACATCTGAGCTACTTGTATTTTCATATATAACCTAACTAATTTGAGCTGATAAGGGAGAACAACGATTCAGAAATTTTACAATATTTGTCGATTGATCGGATTAACGAGTTACTCGATATGAATAGTTCCCAGAACTAATACTTATCGACTGGTCAATTCTTTGTCCTTCCAGGGTATCTATTTTTTTTATACCTAACATTCTTATCCATAGATATTCCAATGCTCTTTATTTCATTTTCACGCTTCCACGATATCATGAAATGCTGTCATGCTTGATTTATAGCTCATAACCCATAAAAAAACATTTAATCATGTATGTTCATTAACGTTTCCAGACTCATCCAAATCACTTATTTAATCCTCAGTCATTGAGGTTACTTATTTCATTTAACAGTCAAGTCTATCCCGGTTACTTCAGAGTTTTCCAGAGTAAATCGAACATTTTCTGAATTTCGGATACATATTGTACTTTCGTTCAATTCAGTCTTCGTGGTTGATTTGTCGAACAAATATCTAATTCTTAGTACTGAATGCGATCTAGAGTTGAGCTGAATACTTCCAAAATTATCATCGAGTCAAACTTGAGAAGACGAACACGCATTTAAGTAATATCTATGTCGTTCAGGTACTAACATATCATTAAGGTTGATCGACTCACTTAAGTTGTGTTCCATAACTTTTAAGGGTAGTACAACACCCATATTTACTTGGATTCCTTAATTAATCTAAAATATTTACTTAGTCTAGGACATAAGGGTATTTTGGTTATTTTGGTGCTCAGTTTTATTCCATTCATTTCATAGCTTGAGGTATCTATTCATTCCTGAGCTTGGTGATATTCTTGGGTCATTTCCATTCCAGAGATATTTTGGTCATTTTACAGATCTACGGTATTTTAATCAATTTTGACAAAATAACACCATCTGTAAAATATTCTTCATGTACTTACTCAACTCAGAGATTTCCAGGTTAAAAGCCTTCTCAAATGTTACTAACGAATTATCAGGAATTTTCCATAAAAAAATAGGATCTCAACAATTAAATAAGTAATTTATCAATTTAAGAACGAATTCTCAGGGTTCTTTCCCATTCAGAGTCAACTCGGACTATTTTTACCTCTAAAAGGCATTTATATAATTCCTTAACCAGGTAACTTCGGTATAAAAACTCTTAACAAGGATAAATAGAATTTAGAGATCCTAGAGTTAAATGATTTTCCAAATAATCTCTGAACCTTAAATTTTTTCCTTAACCACTTCTAATTTCTTGTACGAACCATCATAATTACATTCAATTACTGACTTTTTACCGCATTCGGACTGAATATAAGAATTACCTAACTATACAGATAAAGCCAAAGTTTTCTTATTCAACTCCCAGAGTCATTTTTTATCTTTTTACAACATAAGGGTATTTTTGTAATTTTACCTAGTTGAAGTATTCTCATAATTTATCGCTTAAACCGTATTCAATTCGATTCCATCCATAAACAAACAGGCATAATAGTCTAATCATATACATCCATGCATTTTTTCATTTTCAACATGTTCTATAAAGCATAAAGAGGTAGTAATGTTTACCTCGATTCCCGTGCCATACTGATTGATCATATTGTTGAAAACATTTTGATGTTTCGATATAACAAATTAAGTTAAATGAATTTTAAGATTTTACAAAAGATTTTCTAAATATATTCGATGTAATTATTCGAATATCAAAATATTACTCCAAGTCTTTCAAAGTTCATTTTAATCCTTACTAAAGTGTAAAATTGTGTTTTATACTTAAACTATTTTAAAACAATTTTACAAAGTATTTTGAGCCAAAATTATTTTCTTTTTAAAGGGTTTCAAGAAAAATCAGATTGCCCAGGGGGTACAGATTACCCCCCAGGGGGTACAGATTCCCCCTAGGGGGTACCGATTCCCCCTGTCTAACAGTCAAAAATAGATTGCACTTAGGGAACCGATTCCCCATGAGGGGGTACCGATTCCCCCATGCTCCAAGCTATTTTATTAATTGTTTCTCATCCCCAAACGGCTCCAAAACATCCCCAACGACTATATACGACTTCAAACACATTCCAAGCTATAAATACAAGCTAAGGACACTTGAAGAAGCAATATAAGAACTATCCAAACAATAAAACACAAGAGAAGAGTTTTTCATTCTTATTTCATCTTTCTCTTGTATATATTTTGTTATTGTGAGCTCAATCTTGTAAACACCTACCTTAGAGAGGTTTTCTTGTTTACATTTCTTGTCCTTTTGTAAATAGGAAATGTTCTAGCTAATCCCATGTAAAAGCTAGGGAAATGTTCTAGTTTAGCCCGGAAAAACTAGGGAGTTTGTAAAGTTACTCTTTATCCTCAAAAGAAAGAACAAATTAGTGAATTTGTTGGAAAATCCTTGGTGAGGAGCTAAGGTAGTGGACGTAGACTTTGGTTGAGAAAGACGAACCACTATAAATCGTTGTACAATTCTCTATCTTTCAATCTCCTTACTCCCTAAACACAAAACCGTTTCGACCCCTCTTTGCAAACCGTTCCGGTTATCGATTTGAGCTTCCGAAAATCCTAACAATTGGCATCAGAGCCTAACTTGTTAAAAAGGTTTAACCACCTTGAGACGATCCTAGAAGAAGCTCTACCAATTCCCGACGCAACCGACAAAGAAATGACTTTTTCTTCCGGTGCTTATTATCTTGAAGAATATCCTATTATGGATTCACAACCGGTCAACAAGCCACCATTCTTCAATGGAGCAAATTATGCACATTGGAA